TAGTCCCGGCGGCTCCTCTTCTGATCCAGCTCTCTGCTGTGGCCTGGGAAAGCAGTAGAAGATGGCCCAAGTCCTTGGGCCCCTGCACCCACGTTGGAGACCCAGAAGAAGCGCCTGGTTCCTGGTTTCGGATCGGAGCAGCTCCGTCATTGCGGCCATCTGGAGAGTGAACCAGCGGATGGAAGACCTCTCTCTCTGTCTATATCTCTCTCTCTGTAACTCTTTCAAATAAATAAAATGAATCTTATAAAAAAAAAGAGAGAGCGAGAGAGAGATCCAGAGCCTTGGGCTTACACAGTCAAGGTTATAGGGTCAGCCACTCCACCTTACAGGGCAGCTGCTGTTCTTCCCCCTGCCACCCCCCCCCCCATTTACCCCCCCCCCCCATTTCCTCCATTCATCGCTGTTCTGCCTCCTGTCCCTAGCTTTCCTTCATCCTTAGCAGTGGCAGCTTATCTCTGCCACTAGAAATCATACTAAATAAAAGAAGTGAAGATAGTGAGTCTGCCATGCAGTTACAGCTTCAGGAATAGGCCCGTAGGGCCTCAGCCATCCCTAAATTCAACTGCTTCTTGTACGGAGCACTTTTGTACTCTTCACTTTTCACAAATGCTTGTATCTCTTTAGTTTAGTTTCTCCTGAAACTAGAAGGAACCCTGCCTCCTGGCTGCCTGTGGGAGAGAAAGTGGTTTTCCTTTTCTTCCAAATCCTCTTGAGCCCCAGATTTGCCTTAGTTGGGGAGAAACAGCATCCTGAGACCTCTATTTGCTTCTTCCACCTGGAATCCTGGACTTAGGAGGCCTGTGGGCAGATAAACAGGGTAGGCCCTTATGTGGGCCTGGACTCTACCTCCCTCTCCAAGAGCCTCTCCCTGTTGTTCAGTAACTGTGTTTACTAGGAAAAACCAGGGAAGTGCCCTAAGATGATGCCAGGAAGGACTCAAGGGAATCATGTGACCTTGTGTAGTTTCAGGTGAGCTGGTTAGGAAAGTTTTGATTTCGAGCTCCCATCTTAACTGCAGCCAGTTCTGGGGTAGCTCATTCCCATGTTCCAGCCTCAGTTTGCAGAGGGGATTAGAACTGTGAGCCTTGTTACTACTCTTAAATTCTACAACTGTGTTTTTGGGCAAATGAACAGTAATGGTTCCTGAACTGGGCTTGGGTCATCAGTAGCAGGCACAGGTTTTGGAATGCAGAGCTAGGAGTGAGGGGACTTGTCCAATGGTTTCAGTGGGATGGTGCTGGAGGTGGGGACTGCTGCCCACACAGAAGGAATGATTTTCCCTGGAAGCCATTTAAGATGCCAGGCCCGGTGGGACGTTTGGTGTGTGTTTGCATGCATGTGTGAGTGCACACTTTTAACAGTTGTCTGGTAAGGATGAATGGCTGGGCGGGCACCCAGAAAGCAGATATATAATTGAAATTGTCAGAAAGCTTTGCCTTCTTTCTAGGTTCCTGCAGGGCCCTGTAACAGCTCATCTGAGCCTTCCTGGGTTTCCCTGAAGGCTTTATTGTTTTAACAGATCTGTGAATTTTATATAAAAAAGTAAGCTTGGTCCCCAGTGGATTCTTCTGCCTCTGTGGGGGCAGCCTGTGGCTCTGGTAGCAGAGCATGAACCGGACGCTTTGGGTCTCAGCAGACTGCACATAGGACTAATTTATGAATATTCCTATGTATGTCCAAAATAGTCACCACATCCTCCTCAGCAGCTCGAGATGGTGGTAACAGTGGGGAGCTGTTGGGGTCTTGTCTTGGCCATATTGTTTTTTGATCTTGGTAAACAAATCAGAGTGATCATGGTACACCTTTTTTTTTTTTTTTAAGATTTATTTATTTATTTGAAATTCAGAGTTATACAGAGAGAGGAGAGGCAGAGAGAGAGAAAAGAGAGGACTTCCATCAGCTGCTTCACTCCCCAATTGGCCGCAATGGCCAGAGCTGCACCGATCCGAGTCAGGAGCCAGGAGCTTCTTCTGGGTCTTCCACACAGTGCAGGGGCCCAAGGACTTGGGCCATCTTGTACTGCTTTCCCAGGCCATAGCAGAGAGCTAAATCGGAAGTGGAGCAGCCAGGACTTGAACCGGCGCCCGGCGCCCAGATGGGATGCCGGTGCTTCAGGTCAGGGCGTTAACCCACTGCTCCACAGCGCCTGGCCCCCATGCTACACTTGTGATCCTTCTCTGTTTTGACAGGGTTTTAATAAGAAGCAACAGTTGCCCCTTGGACTGTGCTCACTTTTTTGAGAAAAGTCCTCAGGAACATCTTGCTTTCTGAGCCTGATTCCCTTTTCCGACATGCTGTTAATGAACATGCATTCACTGGCTTATTGACCTGCTCTCCTCATCTAGCACGCTTAGAGTGCTGCTGAGTGTTAGCAGAAGAGGTTGCCAGCCATAACTCAGGTGTACATGGTTCGAAACAGGGGATGCTGTTAGCCTGCTTGGAGACCTGGGTGGTATTAGACTTGTCTGGGCCAACCTGAGAGTGGCAGAGAAATGAGTCCAGAGTAGCCCCTTAAGATTGAGGTTTTCTGGTTCTCCACTACCAGGCCCCTGGAGTAAGGGTGCTGTGGGCTGAGTTCCACAGCTCTATCTTTGAGAAGGTTTGTGGAGTGTCTTTTGAGGGGGCAGTGGCTCCTCCGGTAGCAGGTGGAAACTAGGAATGCAGTGGCCTCAGTTAGGAGTCAGGCAAGGACACTCTCTGCTCATTAAAGGAACATGAGTCTGATCAAGGACTAAACAGTTTGGCAAATTCCTCTGCCCAGGGACTGGGGGCCGCTCTTGCTCGGGCATGGCGGGCCAGCAGTGGAAGCAAAGTGACAGGAGAGAAGTGGGTGAGGCAGGAGTAGAAACCTGTGCTCTCAGAACTGTGCGGGGAAAACAGGTTGGGTGTAGAAAAGACTGGGCCTATTAAGACCACTTCCTTAAGAAATGACATTCTAAAAAAATTTGTGGATTTGTTGTCTTTTTTTATAAGTCTGTGATTGTGTCAGAAAATTAAAATCATTGTATATATACTCCTGAACTCCTGGTAAAACACAAGTCTGCCCTAGAGTTTGTATTATGAATATGTACATGTATATATTTTTATTGGTTTTACAAAAATGAGATTGTTCTGTAACTTGTCTAACTTTTCATACTAATAGATTATTATCTTTTTAATAAATTCTGAAATGATGAACTTAGATTTATTTAGCCAGTTCCTACTGTTGGACCTGTGGGTTGCTTTCACTTTTTGAAAGTTAGAGATGGCACTTTGGATATCCTTGTACATATTGTAATTAGTATTTTTAATGTAAATTTCTGAAGGCAGACTGTTAAGTCAATTGGGAGTCCACTTTTTCTTTGGAAACTGAAAGATAAACGTAATCTTCCTGAATCTTATTGGTCCCTGGACATCTTTTTTGGAAAGGCAGATAGAGATTGAAAAATCTTCTGTCCTCTGAATCACTCTCTAAAAGTAGAACAGCTGACTCTAAGCCTGTCTTGAAACCTGGAGCCTGGAACTCCATCCTCGTCTCCTACATGGGCAACAGGGACTTAACCACTTGGGCTATCATCTGCAGACTTCCAGCTGCACATTATAGGAAGCATACATTGAAGTGGAGCTGCTAGGACTTGAACGCAAGCACCCTGATATGGGATGCGGGTGTCTCAAGCAGCAGCTTAATCACTGTACCAAATGGTCGTCTAGCCCATGTCTGTTCACACACAGACATCTGAAATGTTAGGACCAGAAATGGTCTTCCAAACCCTTCCCTTACAGGAGTGAGGAATTTTATTTATTTTTTTGCTCAGGGCATTTTGGATATTTATAACATTATTTGTAGGGCCATACAATAGTCTCAACATAAAAATTAGCCTGGAGACAGCGCTGTGACATCATAGGTTAAGCATCCGCCTTGTGGTATCCGCATGCCATATGAGTCCTGGCTGCTCCACTTCTGATCCAGCTCCCTGCCTGATGGCCTGAGAAAACAGTAGAAGATGGCCCAAGTCCTTGGGCTCCTGCACTCATGTGGGAGACCCGGCAGAAGCTCCTGGCTCCTGGCTTCATGTCAACCTAGCTCCAGCTGTTGCTGCCGTTTGGAGAGTAAACCAGTGGGTGGAAGAGCTCGCTCTCTCTCTCTCTCTCTCTCTCTCTCTCTCTCTCTCTCCTTCTCTATGCATCTCTGCCTGTCAAATAAGTAAATAAATTATTTTTTAGAAAATTATTTTTAGAAAAATTAGTCTATTATAGAGTTATTAAATTTCTCAAGTTCTGCCTGTGATTGCCTTGGCAGGGCCAGAGCAAATAATCCTCTGGGCCTAAGTTCCCCCCGTCTGCTTTATGGAATCTGCCATGATTGAGGAGTCTTTTATTTTAAGATTTATTTATTTATTTTCAAAGTCAGAGAGAGGGAGTGAGAAAGACAAAGAGTGATCCTCCCTATGCTGGTTTACTGAATATGCTGGGCCAGGCCAAAGCCAGGTGTCAATAGCTTCTTCCTTGTCTCCCATGTGGGTGCAGGGGCCCAAACATTTGGGCCATCTGTGGCTTTCACAGGAGCGTTAGCAGGGAGCTGGATTGGAAGTGGAGCAGCCAGGATATGAACCATCACCGATATGGGATGCTGGTGTCACAGGTGGCCACTTGACCCTCTGTGCCACAGTGCTGGCCCCAGGAGTCCTGAATTAAGCTGACGTGGACTTCACTCCCCAGGCCTTAGTTGCCATTTTTCAAGAGGGAACAAAGCTCTACTCTGGGCAGCTACCTTCCCACCTCAGAGCATGAGTGCTTTGGTTTTGGCTTCTAGCTCTTTTCATGGTTTCCCTGTTTGTGATTTCTTCAGGAAGGGATTGGTACAGTTGTTACTGGTGTCTGAGTACCTGTAGCCTTCCTTTGGCTTTGGGAGCCTGCAGATTGTTTGGAGGGGTGGGGCTGGTGAAGAACATGAGAAGCTGTCAGTGGATACCTCACACAGGCTCTACATAACCATCTCTCCCTTCTTGTTCCCACAGAACATTCTGCTCCGGCCAAGGTGGTGAGGGCAGCAGTTCCTAAACAACGCAAAGGCAGCAAGGTAAAGAATAGAAGTGGGCAGCCCAAAGTGGCCTACTTGAGGTGGTCGCCTCTTTGCTGTTGTGTTAAGTGCCTCTAGACTTCCTGAATGGCAGGGGAGCCCTTGTAGGCTGCTAGTGTAGGTGGTCCTAGCGGCGGACCCATTTGGCCTCTGATCTTTCATTGCAGCTGAATGTTGAGTGGGGGTCTGAGTAACAGAGGCAGGGTTACCCCTGGGAGCCTCATAGAATGTTCCTTGCAGGTTGGTGACTTTGGAGATGCAATCAACTGGCCCACGCCTGGAGAGATAGCCCACAAGAGTGTACAGGTGAGTCTGTGGGGAATAATAGACAGGCTTAACTTCTGTCTACATCTATTTGGCTTCTCAAGCTTCCAGAGCCTTAGGACTTCCCTAGGTCATTTTTTTTAAAAAGGGATGATTAATGGATGATTTTGGATAATTAAGCATTACCAATATTTGAGCTTTTGTTTTGTGCCAGGGACTGCCAAGCACTGTCTGTCAATCATCTCTACCTCTCACAGTGACTCTTGAGATACATCCATTTATAATTCCCATCTCATAGATGAGGCCACGGAAACTCAGAGAGGTTACTAGCTCTCGATGACCAAGTGGGGATTGGAAGTCAAGTATGTTCAAAGGCTGTGTTCTCTGTCACTGCTCTTTGATTTTCTATGAGTGAAACAGTGGACATGATGCTGCCACATGTCTTGGGGAGGCTTCTGCAGTTGTCATGGGCCCAAGTACAGGGAGGATTCCTGATCAGGTGGTTCTTCCCAGTGCTTTTGCTCTGGTCAGTGGCCTAGATCCCTCTGCTCACTGACTGTGACCACCTTTGGTTCACAAGGTTGATGTGGACAGGCCAGTGGCCATCATCTCTTCCACTGCACAAACTACCAGGGCAGACTGACAGTACTCTTGAAGGGAGTAACAGTATGCCTCTGTGTGTCCCAGCATCTCTGTTCTGGGGTTTGTCACCAAGACTCAGAAAAGCTGGTGTTTGATCTGGCTTTCCAATAAAAGCATTTCAGATGAGAAAATGGGGCATGACAACATATCATTCCACCTGCCAGTGCTTACAGTAGCTCCTTCTGCCTGTCTCCTAGTGACAGGGAGCGCCTTCCCTCCTAGCACAGGAAACTCTCTGACTTCACTCCACCTCCCTGTTCCTTCTTGCTGCAGCCGCAGTCGCACAAGCCTCAGCCTACCCGTAAGCTGCCACCCAAGAAAGACATGAAGGAACAGGAGAAAGGAGAGGGGAGTGATAGTAAGGAGAGCCCGAAAACCAAATCCGATGAATCAGGGGAAGAGAAGAATGGGGATGAGGACTGCCAGCGAAGCGGGCAGAAGAAGAAAGGTAAGTGACTTGGAGCAGGACTTTAGAAGGTGTCTCAGCTGAGCTGGGCAATGTGAGGACTCTGGGAGCCACTGGAGAAATTGCAGGTCAGTGGGAGGCTGGTTGGTGTATACCACTCAGTGGACAGCAGTCTTCAGCTGCCTGTCCATCAGTTCTTTTTAATGGCAAGAGTTCCGATTGCTCTAAGAGTTTCCAAAAACCTGCTGAAATGATTAGTATACACATTGAGCTGCTGTACTACAGAGCCAAAGGAACATTGGTTTAAACAAGATAAACTTCTAGTTCATTCAGAGCATTGTGTGAAGTAGGTCAGGCCTAGTTCAGCACCTCACTTAACTCCTTTTGTCACCATGGATGGCTCCCTGTTTCCTGCTCATTCAAGGTACTTAACCTAGAACTGGCCACTTTAACTCCCTCTTTTTAATTTCATTTATTTACTTATTTGAGAAAGAGGCATACACACACAGGGTGGGGGTAGAGGGAAAGTTCTCATCCCCTGGTTCAGTCCATCGATGCCTACAGTGGCCAGGGCTGGACAAAAACTGAAAGCCAGGAACTCAATCTAGGTGTCGCATGTAGGTATCAGGAACTCAATTACTTGAGCCATTAATGCTGCCTACCAGGGTCCATATCAGCAGGACACTGGAAACAGGAAGCCAAAATCGGGAGCTGGAGTCGGGTATCAAACCCAGTACTCCAATATGAACTCAGGGATCTTACCTCTGCCCCTAACTCAGCTGTTACAAGCCACATTTAAAAAAAAAAAAAAAGAAAGAAAAAAAGATTTTATTTATTTATGTGAGAGATAATTTCAGACAGAAAAGAGGGAGAGACAGAGAGGTCTTCCACCTGCTGGTTCACTCCCCAAATGACCGCAACTGCCAGAGCTGGTCCAATCTGAAGCCAGGATCCAGGAGCTTCTTCTGGGTCTCCCACGTGGGTGCAGGGGACCAAATACTTGGGCCATCATCTACTATTTTCCCAGGTCATTAACAGAAAGCTGGATTGGAAGAGGAGCATCCCAGACACAACTGGTGCCCATGTGGGATGCCAGAGCTGCAAGCAGGGGCCTAACTTACAGGCCACATTTTGGCATGTGTCTAAAGGGAGCACCCTTGAATCTACCTCCAGAAGAAGGCTGTAATATAATTGAGAAATCCATATTGGGAATCAGCCAGGAGTCTCATCACACTGAGGGCCACTAGCCTCGTTAGTTTAGAGAGGAAAAAGAGGGGAAGGAATTTGCCCAAGGTTACCAGTTGTGATTTGGACCCAGGGCAGAGGAGAATGAATGGAAGTAAGGATGGTTTTGGTGCAGGCAGGGGTGCTCTCCCCCAAGTACTTTCTCACGTGCCCATGCTGTCCTCAGGGAACAAACACAAGTGGGTTCCATTGCAAATAGACATGAAGCCTGAAGTGCCCAGAGAGAAGCTGGCTTCACGCCCTACTCGTCCTCAGGAGCCAAGACACACACCTGCCAACCGCGGGGAGATCAAAGGTATGCATTGCCCACTAGGGAGGGCCTGGACATAGGGGACACTCACAGGCCTGACCTGATGCTCCCTCTCTCCTTAGGGTCTGAACCTGCCACCTACATGCCCGTGCCCGTGGCCCCCCCCACCCCAGCCTGGCAACCAGAGACCAAACCGGAGCCTGCCTGGCACGACCAGGATGAGACATCGAGTGTGAAGAGTGATGGGGCTGGTGGGGCGCGGGCTTCCTTCCGTGGCCGTGGACGGGGGCGTGGTCGCGGCCGGGGACGTGGCCGGGGTGGCACTCGAAGTACGTGAGGCCCCTTTGGGCTCCGGGAAGTCCAGGGGAGTGTGGTGGGGTAATGGGCAGGAATCTCCTCACCCTCATGACATCCATTTCCCCCATAGCGCATTTTGACTACCAGTTTGGCTACCGAAAGTTTGATGGTGCCGAGGGGCCTCGCACCCCCAAGTACATGAACAACATCACCTACTACTTTGACAACGTCAGCAGCACTGAGCTTTACAGTGTGGACCAGGAGCTGCTCAAAGACTACATTAAGCGCCAGATGTGAGTGTGCAGAAGCCTTCTTCCTGGAGAGAAGTGAAAACACTTAACGAAATGGAGGGAAATGTCTGGTGGCACACACACATACACACACGACCTGCCCGACGAGTAGTTTCATTTGTAGTGACAGCATGGACAGAATGCTGGCAAACATTTACTAAGTCTTCACTACTGGACGGTCCCAGTGTTAAAGTGCTTAATAGGCATTATCTTTTTTAATCCTGATTTTTATCTAGCAAGCTCCTAGGATCTGGATCTTTTATCCGTATCTTATAGACAAACACAGATCTGAATCCATTTCTGTCCGATTACAGAGTGCTTATTCTTAAGCACCCTGCTATACTGTCACACAATGCTGTGAGGGAACCTTACAAGGAAATGAAGAGTGGCGGTAGAATGTTACCAGTGTTTTTAGAGCAAAAGAGAAAGTGTCCATAGTATTTGAACTGGTTTTAAGGAAAGATGGGGAGTTTGTCATGTGGGCCAAAGGACTGAAAGGGCAGAGGGAGTGGTAAGATTCAAAGTAGGGGCCATGAAGAGATAGCATAACTTCTTAGCCCTTATCACCCTGCATGGCTGGGCAGGTAGGTGTAGGAGGTGAACAGGATAGGTCTGGGAAGGCTGTATGAGGCCACTGGAGGGTGTGGCAGGGTGGGGGATGTGTGTTTGTGAATGACGTGGTGATCCCTTGGTGATACCTCTTCTTCCCTCCACTTAGTGAATACTACTTCAGCGTGGACAATTTAGAGCGAGACTTCTTCCTGCGACGGAAAATGGATGCTGATGGTTTCCTTCCTATCACCCTTATTGCTTCCTTCCACCGAGTGCAGGCCCTCACCACTGACATCTCACTCATTTTTGCGGTATGTCTCCCTCCCTGGGACAAGGGTGCAGGGAAGAGAAAGGTTCTTACTTAACGGAGTTGGAGTTGCAGGCCAGGGCAAAAATCCCTGGGAGGGTCCTCATCTGATTACTTGTGTTGTAGTCCCAAGGTTTAGCTACCGTCCTTTCCTGCCTTCTTCCTTCCTGCTTTCACAGAAAATGTAGACAGAATAGCACTAAGGAGCCCAACACCAGCTTTAACAAGTGCCAGTCTTAGTCCATCATACCTGCATCTATTTCCCCCTCATATTCATCCACAAATGTGTCAGTATTCATCTCTTCGAGATAAAGACTTGCTGAAAAATGTAACCACAATATCATCACTCCTAAAAACATGAGTATTAACAATTCATCAATACCACCAAATACCCACTCAGTTTCAGACTCACCCAAGTTGTCCAAAAATAATCTTAACCATAGTTTGTGAAGCTCAGGACTCCAGTAAGACCTCTGCATTTTAAGCTCCTCCCTCCATCCCTTTATTTTTCTTGCGGTTTACTGTTAGAGTAAACTGGGGTGTGTACCCTGTAGAATATCCCTCAAGACACAGTGATGTTAGTTAACATGTTCATCTATGTTCCAAAGTTTCTGTAAATTGGTAGCCTAGAGAACTGATTACATGGAAGTTTGGGAGCTGTTTCACCCTTATCAAGAGTGTTCCAAGAGTGCTGGATTTTGTAGAATAGCAGTTAAAGATGCCACCTGTGACATCAGAGTCCCATATGGGTGCTGGTATGTGTCCTGGCTGCTCGACTTCTGCTGCAGCTCCCTGCTGATGGCCTGGGAAAAGCAGAGGAAGGTGACTCAAGTGCTTGAGCTCCTGCTACCAACATGAGGGACGTGGGAGAAATTTCTGGTTCCAGCTTGACGCAGCCCTGGCTATTGCAGCCCTCTGGGGAATAGAACAGCAGATGGAAGATTGATCTCTATGTCTGTCTCTCCCTGTCTCTCTCTCTAACTCTTCCAAATAAATTAATATTTTTTTTAAGTACAGATCAAGAATGATGTTTTCTCTTTCATGGCACGTAACATATCTTTTGTTTATCTCTCTTGTGAGCAAAGCTAATATTGGTGATCATTTCTGATGACTTCATTGGGAATGGTAACACTGTGGTGGTCTCAATCTGTCGGTCTCCAGGGTTGGAATCTCGCTTTGAGGGGAACCGTTGCCTCATTGACTACGCAGTTACTGAGGCAGATAGATGGCTCGATCTTTTCCCTTTCCTTAGCCAGTTTACGGAATTGTCAGTTGATCCCTAATTACTTCCTCGGAGTTTTTTGTTTTGTTTGTTTGTTTGTTTGGTCTGTTTGGAATTATTGAATATTTTAATATTATAGATTCAAACTTTTACTTCAGTTCATTGCAGTTAATATGTTGGATCAAATTGTCTGATTTTTGACCAGTTCATCTTGTACATTTTATGCCACAGATTTGGAGTTAGCCACTTTTTAAAAGAACTTTAATTGCTTTTTGAAAGAAAATGGTATTTAAATACTGTAGTCCCAGTTAGAGGGGCTGCTCATTGTTGCTTCGCTGATTGTTTTTAGAAGGTAATTTTTGGGGCTGGCATTGTGGCATAGCAGTTAAAGCTGCCCTCTGCAACACTGGCATCCCATATGGGCACCAGTTTCTGTCCCAGCTGCTCCACTTCAGTCCAGCTCCCTACTCATGTGCTGAGGAAAGCAACAGAAGATGGCACAAGTACCTGGGCCCTTGCCACCCACTTGGGAGACCCGGAAGAAGCTCCTAGGTCCAGGCTTCAGCCTGGCTTAGCCCTCACTGTCGGCAGCCGCCTGGAGAGTGAACAAGTGGATGAAAGACCTCTCCTTCTCTCTTTAACTCTGACTTACAAATAAATCTTTTGTAAAAAGATTGTGAGATTATACTTTCTTATAAAGTTCAGGAGTATAGGATCTTTATTTAAACTGGGTCTTTCTTTGAATCTAATTCCTTCCCCCCCCCCCCCCCACCGCCAAAAATCTTAATTGCTAGTAACATCAGCATAATTACTTGTTTCATTCCACAGTATATACACGTTGTTCACTCTTTCTAAAAATTTTTATTTATTTCTTTTCATTTTATTTGGAAGAGACACTTCCACTGGTTCACTCCCCAAATTTATGCAATAGCCAGGGCTGGGCCGATGGGCCTAGAACTCAATCCAGTCTTTCCACCTGGGTGGCAGGGGACCCAAGTACTTGAGCTGTCATCTCCTGCCTCCCAGGATACACTTTACCAGTAAGCTGTATTGGAAGTGTAGCAGCTGGGTCTGAACCAGATTTACTGATAAAGAGATATGGATTGGCCAGCGCCGTGGCTCAATAGGCTAATCCTCCGCCTTACGGCGCCGGCACACCGGGTTCTAGTCCTGGTCGGGGCGCCGGATTCTGTCCTGGTTGCCCCTCTTCCAGGCCAGCTCTCTGCTATGGCCCAGGAGTGCAGTGGAGGATGGCCCAAGTCCTTGGGCCCTGCACCCGCATGGGAGACCAGGAGAAGCACCTGGCTCCTGGCTTCGGATCAGCGCGGTGCGCCGGCTGCAGCACGGCGGCTGCAGCGGCCATTGGAGGGTGAACCAACTGCAAAAGGAAGACCTTTCTCCCTGTCTCTCTCTCTCTCTCTCTCACTGTCCACTCTGCCTGTCAAAAAAAAAAAAAAAAGAGAGAGAGAGAGATGGATGTCTTCAGCAGTGATGGAACTACTGTGCCTACTGTGCCTAACAGTGCCCTGACATCATTATCTCTGCTACCACTGAAAACCAATTTTTTTAATTCCTACAGTTAAATGAGTATTTCACACCATTAGCAATGATGAATTCTTTCATTTTAAAGTAAAGACAAGGCTGGCACCGCGGCTCACTAGGCTAATCCTCCACCTGTGGCTCTGGCACACCGGGTTCTAGTCCCGGTCAGGACGCAGGATTCTGTCCCAGCTGCCCCTCTTCCAGGCCAGCTCTCTGCTGTGGCCTGGGAAGGCAGTGGAGGATGGCCCAAGTGCTTGGGCCCTACACCCCATGGGAGACCAGGAGAAGCACCTGGCTCCTGCCTTCGGATCAGCGCGGTGCGCTGGCCGCAGCGCACCAGCCGTGGCGGCCATTGGAGGGTAAACCAATGGCAAAGGAAGACCTTTCTCTCTGTCTCTCTCTCTCTCTCTTACTATCCACTCTGCCTGTCAAAAAAAAAAAAAAAAAAAAAAAAGTAAAGACAAATTCCTATGTGTATTCATATCCTTCCCCCTTCTTTGATAAATGGACGTTACAAAACATGTGTTTTCAGTTGTGTTTTTTGTTTTTGCTTCATTTATCTGGGAGCCGGTCTTAACTAGTTGCATAGTGTACTGTTATGGATTCTCCATGGGAAAGCTGCTAACTTCTGAATGGGCACTTTGTTTCTGGTTTTTTGTTTGTTTTAGATTCATTCATTTATTTGAAAGGCAGAATTAGAGAGGGAGAGACAGAAAGATCTTCCATCTGCTGTTTCACTCTGCAGATGGGTTACAATGTGTGGGTCTTGGCCAGGCCAAAGCCAGGAGCCTAGAACTGCATCCTCATCTCCCACATGGGTAACGGGTCCAGATACTTGAGCCATCTTCATCTGCTTTACCAGGCACATTAGCAGGGAGCTGAATCCGAAGTGGAGTAGCTGGGACTTGAACCAGGGCTTATATGGGATACCTGTGTGGACGACTTTACTCCCTGTGCCACAATGCTTGCCTATTTCCAATATAATACATATACTTCTCCTGTGCTGTAGTGAACATCTATGTGTATTTTTCTTATTTTTGCCAGTAAGTCTTTCATATAGATTTCTGGAAGTAGCATTGCTGAGTTAAAGGGTGAGTGTATACATAATTCTGGTAGGTAGTGCGGTGCTGCATTGCATTTCTAAAGACTGTGCCTTTTGCACAGTCACCAACAGTTCATGAAAGTGCTTCTTTGCCCAGTATCATGAACAAGAGTATGTCACACAGGGAAATTTTTCCCTTTTTTACTTTCAAAGATTCTTAAAATATTTTAAAATAAAAAACCCATGTCCCTTCTCTACTCTTCACCCTTTTTCCCAAGTACCCGTAGAAGTTTACCTATGGACACTAGGAATAATGGTATATGTATGTTTCTGTGCTTTTACTTAAAAATTTAAACACCTCAGGGATCTTGTGCACGCTGGCCTGTAACTGCTTTTTTTTCTTAATATATGTTTTGTATCTTTCCACTGGAGCACATATAAAGCTGTGTTTCTAATGAGTATGTAGTGTTGATTGATAAGCCATAATTTATTTAAGTTGTGACATGGCAAGTTATGTTTCCTGTTTTTCTCCTTTATGTATATAAACTGATTTGTGAGAAGCCTTTTGTCCAAGTCTTGGGCCTGCTGTCACTTGGTTGTGCAGATCTTCTCTTGGGCAGATTACTGAAAGTGGAATTGCAGGGCCACAGGACAGGGTTGTTTTTCATGTTGGTGCGCTCCTACAAGTTTGAACATCTCACATATCTGCTGGTGGTTGAAGATTGTGCCTGTGGTTTTTTTTATTTTTGACAGGCAGAGTTCGACAGTGAGAGAGAGAGACAGAGAGAAAGGTCTTCCTTCCGTTGGTTCACCCCACAAATGGCCGTCACGGCCAGCGTGCTGCGCCGATCCGAAGCCAGGAGCCAGGTGCTCCCTCCTGGTCTCCTGTGCATGTGCAGGGCCCAAGCACTTGGACCATCCTCCACTGCCTTCCCGGGCCACAGCAGAGAGCTGGCCTGGAAGAGGAGCAACCGGGACTAGAACCTGGAATGCCAGCATTGCAGGTGGAGGATTAGCCTAGTGAGCCATGGCGCCTGCCAATTGTGCCCTTTTTTTTTTTTTTGACAGGCAGAGTGGATAGTGAGAGAGAGAGAGAGACAGAGAGAAAGGTCTTCCTTTTGCCGTTGGGTCACCCTCCAATGGCCGGCGCACCGCGCTGATCCGATGGCAGGAGCCAGGTGCTTATCCTGGTCTCCCATGGGGTGCAGGGCCCAAGTACTTGGGCCATCCTCCACTGCCTTCCCTGGCCACAGCAGAGAGCTGGCCTGGAAGAGGGGCAACCGGGACTAGAACCCGGTGTGCCAGCGCTGCAAGGCGGAGGATTAGCCTAGTGAGCCGTGGCGCCGGCCTGTGCTCGTTTTTTTAAAACTGCTGCTAGCACTGGACTCAGACTCATGATCATGAGGGCCCAGTTATCTGCCATCTTCCAAGATCTCTGTCCTAATCGTTCATCTTCATCCTCTCTCCTCCCTGTATGCAGGCCCTAAAGGACAGCAAGGTCGTGGAGATGGTTGATGAAAAAGTCCGTAGGAGGGAAGAACCTGAGAAGTGGCCTCTTCCCGGTCCCCCAATAGTGGATTATTCGCAGACTGATTTCTCCCAGCTTCTCAACTGCCCCGAGTTTGTCCCCCGGCAGCACTACCAGAAGGAGACAGGTTGGTACCCTGGTGGCGTGTTGATGCCCTTTGTCATCCTTGTCCACTGGCCAGTGGTCCTCCTCGGTGCTGGCATCAGGAGAAGGATGGAAGGGATAAAGACTTCCTCTTTCCACTCTTCAGAGTCAGCACCTGGCTCTCCTCGTGCAGTCACCCCAGTGCCAACCAAAACAGAGGAAGTCAGCAACCTAAAGACACTTCCCAAGGGCCTGTCTGCCAGCTTGCCTGACCTGGACTCCGAAAACTGGATTGAAGTGAAGAAGAGGCCTCGGCCCTCACCAGCACGGCCCAAGGTGGGTGAGCCATGTCCTTTGCCTTGGGTTCAAGGGCCCTGCACTGGAGTAGTTGGAGAGGACATCACAACGACACTAGCAGTGTCTAGCTAGCCTTCCGGCTAGCCAGCAGGCTGGGTGATTTAGGGTTATGATGCAAGCTGGAGGTCATTAGTAGTGCTGCAAGGAGGTATGTATCACCTGTTTTTTCCTTTGGTGGCCACCCTTAGAATATCCTGCTGTATTCTGCTGTATTAGTTCCTTGGTGACATGTTTTAATTTTTAAAGTGAAATCTCTTTTTATTTTTAATTTCTTTGAAAGAGTGCTGGTTTGTTCCCTAAAAAGCCATAACAGCCAGGGCTGGGCCAGGCTGAAGGCAGGAGCCGGGACATCAGTCTCAGTCCTCCCACATGTTTGGTAGGAACTCAAGTACTTGAGCTGTCATTCTCAACACATCAGCACAGACCTAGATTGAAAGTGGAGTAAGTGGAGCCGGCGCTGCAGCTCACTAGGCTAATTTTCCACCTAGCGGCGCCGGCACATCGGGTTCTAGTCCCGGTCAGGGTGCCGGATTCTTTCCCGGTTGCCCCTCTTCCAGGCCAGCTCTCAGCTGTGGCCTGGGAGTGCAGTGGAGGATGGCCCAAGTTCTTGGGCCCTGCACCCACATGGGAGACCAGGAGAAGCACCTGGCTCCTGCCTTTGGATCAGCGCGATGCGCCAGCCACAGCGCGCCAGCCGTGGTGGCCATTGGAGGGTGAACCAATGGCAAAGGAAGACCTTTCTTTCTTTCTCTCTCTCTCACTGTCCACTCTGCCTGTCAAAAAAAAAAGAAAGAAAGTGGAGCAACTGGGACCTGAACTGGCACTCCAGTATGGAATGCCAGTATCTCAAGTAGTGTTTTAACCTGCTGCACCACAGTGTCTACCCCGAAGTCACATTTATTTACTTGTTTGAGAGTGGAAGAGAACAACCTCCCATCTGCTTGTTCATTCCTTCAAAGGCCTGCGACAGGCAGAATGAGCCAGGCTGAAGCTGAGAGCCAGAAACCCAATCTGCATCTCACATGCGGGTGACAGGGACGTTTCTCAGCCATCACCACTGCCTCCCAGGGTCTGCGTTAACAGTAAGCTGGAATAAGGAGCAGAGCAAGGACTCAAACCCAGGCACGTCAGTAGGGGATGCAGGTGTCCCAACTGGCATCTTCACCACTAGGCCAAGCTCTCACCCTGAGTGGCATTTTTCACAGGAAGAAATCACGTAGCATCTGACAGCCATGTCCCAGGTTTCCTGATTCCTGGTTGTTCTTTCTGCCTCATGTAATTCTCTAGGGCTGTGTGTTCAGTATCTCCCTTGACTTCATTCTCTCTGTCCCATTCATAAGGCCCTAGGGCCTTCAGAAGAAGAAAGAGAAGGCGCAGACCTGTGGCCCAGATGTGGAGTTTGAGTCTAGATTGGAATGTAGACCTTGTGGCACTGATGGTTGTGTGCCCATGAGAATCTTGTTTAGTACCTCAAAGCTTCCATCTCATCATAAGATGAGGGAAAGGAGAGTTTGTTTAAGCTATTTAAAAAATAATACCATAATGTCTGTAATACACATGGAGAGGGAATTCACTGTCAGAGTATTGTTTGGGTCTCAAGCTGAAATTACTGTCTATATTCCAAACATAAATTTTTCTCCATCTGCCTTCATCTCATCTCTGGGCTGGAGCCTCTGAGGAAATCCTGAAGATGACCTTAGACTTCGGTCAGCGAAAGTTGATGCTACATTATCTGTTTGACCACCTCCCCCGTCTCCTTTCTCATCCCTGTTCCCCAACAGAATTCATCCCTGTAGTAGTAAATGAATAAAGGTGGAAGACAGACATAGCCTCTCATTCTGCCTCATTTGGTGGAACCCCTACTCCCACCTGGCTTGGATTTGAATTTTTTTAAAGATTTTTATATATTTATTTGAAAGGTGGATAGAAGGAGAGACGGAGAGAAAGGGTTTATGAACACTGAAACGTTTTCCTGAAAGCACCCTGTTTTATGCTGCCTTTAAGACATGCTATTCTCTTGTTGTTGTTCTTTAGTACTCACTTTTTCCAGGAAGTCTTCTCTGCTCCCCATTTGCTCCCCACAATTTTATTTATAGCCTTTGCCAAACTGTATTACAGTTGGTTGTTGGTTAACATTTTCTCCCACTCAGTTGTGAGCTCCCTAAGCACATTTATCTTGTCTTACTCAGTATTCTGCTTACAGAGTTTTTTTGTGTGTTGTTGTTGTTGGTTTTTTTTTTTTTTTTTTTTTTTTTTTTGGACAGGCAGAGTGGACAGTGAGAAAGACAGAGAGAAAGGTCTTCCTTTGCCGTTGGTTCAGCCTCCAATGGCCGCTGTGGCCGGCGCACCACGCTGATCCGATGGCAGGAGCCAGGTACTTCTCCTGGTCTCCCATGGGGTGCAGGGCCCAAGCACTTGGGCCATCCTCCACTGCACTCCCTGGCCACAGCAGAGAGCTGGCCTGGAAGAGGTGCAACCGGGACAGAATCCGGCGCCCCGACCGGGACTAGAACCCGGTGTGCCGGCGCCACAAGGCGGAGGATTAGCCTAGTGAGCTGCGGCGCCGGCCTGTTGTTGTTGTTGTTGTTGTTGTTGTTGTTGTTGTTGTTGTTTTTGACAGGCAGAGTGGACAGTGAGAGAGAAAGAGAGAGAAAGGTCTTCCTTTGCCATTGGTTCACCCTCCAATGGCTGCCGCGGCTGGAGCGCTGCGGCTGGCGCACCGCGGCTGGCGCACCGCGCCTATCCAAAGGCAGGAGCCAGGTGCTTCTCCTGGTCTCCCATGGGGTGCAGGGCCCAAGGACTTGGGCCATCCTCCACTGCACTCCCTGGCCACAGCAGAGAGCTGGCCTGGAAGAGGGGCAACCGGGACAGAATCTGGCACCCCGACCAGGACTAGAACCCAGTGTGCCGGCGCTGCAAGGCAGAGGATTAGTCTAGTGAGTCACGGCGCCGGCTTTGCTTACAGAGTTAATACAGAGCCTGGTACTAGTGGGTTCTTGCACATTCATTGAATAGTTGAATACTTGTTTTTGGTAGGTCCTCGTCTAAGTACTAAGGATGAGCTACTTGAGAAAATTTGTGGGAAGATGAATTTAAAAGATGGGTTTATTTTGGTTCAAGAAAATTAGAAATCCATGCATTATGTTTTTATACTGTCATTCCATGTACCTTTGAAGACTGCTTGTATGAATGGATTTCAATTTATTTTGCACCAAAATAAACTTAGCACTTTCGTGCAGCTTTTCAGAGTACCTTTATACAATGTAAGTGGCAGGGACCTGTCTAATGGGTTGCAAGGCAGTGAGCTTCTAGCTTATTGGGAGATACGGAGTAGATAGATGGATGGGTGGGTCAGCCTGAACTTGCTGTGTGCCCATTCCCAGGCTAGCAGCCATCTAGCTTATAAGGGTAAATGAAAGCTCAGTCTTACCTGTGGGATTGTTCACCCTTGAGCAGAGGAACCTGGAGTCCTACAGAACTTTCTTCCCTTCATGAAGCTGACTCCAGGGTGATGTTCCCAGGGCCCTAGCTGTCACAGGCTCATGCTGAAGGGCAGCAGTCCCTGATCCTAGCCCCTCTTAAGTGACGACCTCTCTCCCCTGGTCTGTTTCTGTTTCAGAAGTCAGAAGAGCCCAGATTTACCCACCCGACCTCTCTGCCTCAGCAGCTGCCCTCCCAGCAGCTGGTATCCAAGGATCAGGATGAACAGGAGGAACTGGACTTCCTGTTTGATGAGGAGATGGAGCAAATGGATGGGCGGAAGAACACCTTCACTGCCTGGTCTGATGAAGATTCCGACTATGAGATTGATGACCGGGATGTCAACAAGATCCTCATTGTCACCCAGACACCACCTTATATGCGCCGGCACCCAGGAGGGGATCGCACAGGCAACCATACCTCACGTGCCAAGATGAGCGCTGAGCTGGCCAAGGTCATTAATGACGGGCTCTTCTATTATGAGCAGGACCTGTGGACTGAGAAGTTTGAGCCTGAGTATTCCCAGATAAAGGTGAGGTTCAGACCTCCACTGAGTGTGGGAGCCCTTGTTGCCCATCTGTAGTGTGAAGAGGAAGGCTACCTGGCTTGGCAGGTCCTTCCATTCTAGCCCTTGCGCCCTCATGTGTGAGAGGAGGGTGGTGACGAACCCCTTTCTGGGTCAGAAAGCAACGAGAGCCAGGTAAGCGCTGTCAGTGGTACCTGTCTGTGGACTGCCTGTTGTCCTGCCTGAACATCTGCATTCATTGTTACTGCATATGGCTGGACATTTTCCAGGGACTGGAATAAGGGTTAGATGGTTCTTTTAGTTTTTAGTATTTTTAGTTGTATGTGAAATTTATGAGGCTTTTGAGCTTTCTTGGAGTGTGGAAAGTGGAGAAAAGATACGACATTTTCAAAATTGCTGCTGCCTGGAAGTAATTAGGACATCCTTGTTGTGGGTTTTTAATTTGAGTATGCATGGTGGTGGGTGGGCTGGGTGAGCCTGTGTAATGAGTAGCAGCAGTGTGTTGGGTGGAGGTGAGGAGACAGAGCCTAGCCACTGAGTGACAAGACAGTGCTAAGAAGGGTGGGAGGCACTTGGAGTGCCTGAGGCAGAGAAGGCAGTGAGTTCCTGGGGAGCTGCTCTCCTGATCCTAGGGAGGGTAAGACAGATGCTAATCCCTTGGGAGTAGCATTCAAAACACCCAAGGAATTGCAGCTGATGAATGGTGGCAGCTGGGGGGCCAGAATTCCACCTGTGTGGGTACAGGAGTTGCCCTCTGCACCTTCCTGCCAGTCTTGATTCCTGAGCAGGTTAGAGCAGCATGCTGACTAACCTCTCTCCACCCATCTGTCTGCTCTACAGCAAGAGGTTGAGAACTTCAAGAAAGTCAACATGATCAGCCGGGAGCAGTTTGACACACTAACCCCAGAGCCCCCTGTGGATCCCAACCAGGAAGTCCCCCCTGGACCACCCCGGTTCCAGCAAGGTGAGGAGTAGACACTTAAGACTTTGGTGTGGGTGAGAGCATCTGTAGTACCCAGACCAGGGCCCTTCCCCTGCTTGCTGATCCATCTTTGTATCTGCAGTTCCCACTGATGCCCTGGCCAACAAGTTGTTTGGTGCTCCTGAGCCCTCCACCATTGCCCGCTCTCTACCAACTACTGTCCCAGAGTCGCCAAACTATCGCAATGCCAGGACCCCGCGCACGCCCCGCACCCCACAGCTCAAAGACTCAAGTCAGACCTCACGGTTCTACCCAGTGGTGAAAGAAGGGCGGACGCTAGATGCCAAGGTGAGGCCCTCTTACTGGGCTCAGAGTCTCATGCCCACTGCCTCCTTCCCCCCTTGCTTGTTTGAGCCAGGTAAGTGCCTCCAAACCTGCTGTGTGTCCTTACGCTGTAGGGCTCACCTAGCATGGAATAACCATATCTTTGAAACAGACTCAAGGGGTGTGGGGACTCGTAGCCATGAAGATGCCTAAGGAGGACTGACCAAGTGTGTGTTTTACGGCAAATCACTTCACTCCCAGCCTCTATTTCTTCACTTGTGAATTAGGCATAGCTGTTCCTAGCTTATAGTTGTGTACATTTCGTGGGAAAATAGATATGGCTTGAAAGGGCCTTTGTTAGTCCTGCAAGGGTTAAAATTAATGCTTCTTGGAATGGTATGGGTACAAAGTATAAGTCCTGGACTGATCTTTGCAGATGCCTCGAAAAAGGAAGACAAGACACAGCTCGAACCCGCCTTTGGAGAGCCACGTGGGTTGGGTGATGGATTCCCGTGAGCACAGGCCTCGAACTGCTTCCATCAGGTGTGGGGCAGGAGGGAAGTGGAGCCCAGAATTTCTATGGGATGGATGGCGGGTCGTGAGTGAAATCTGGACTGAGAAGTTGATGGGAAAAAGTAAAGCAAGCCTTATCTGAACCCTGAAGCTCAGTAGTGTGGAACGTTTGGGAATGGGAAGGCTTCTTTGTGAGGTAGGATTGCAGTCAGTTGAGACCAGACTTTAGAACATTCAGACAGATCACCTCTGACTTGGTTTCTAAAATGGGCATTTGCTGCCTCCCTGCAAGAGGGTAGCCAGGGAGTTGAATGAAAATACATTTTTGGCCCCAGCCTAAATCTGCTGACTGCTTCTAGGGGTAGGGCCCAGATTCTGTAAGGTTTTCAGTGATGTGGCCCCAGTGTTTATTCCTTGGTTGGGGAGCTGCCCATGTACACACTGGTCTCTGCAGAGGTGGCACAGACTGAAAATAGGTATGGTTTCGAGAAAAGTATCAAAGATTGGACCCATATTGATTCATGAAGGAAAGTTAAATGTTATAAGCTATGTAAACTTGGTGGTTAGAAGCCCAGGTTTTGGCAGTAGATCTCTGCCTTTAAATAGCTTTGTAACCCTGCGCGGGTCTTACAGTCTGTTAAGCTGCAGTGACCTCTCTAGAACACTCATTAAGGGTTGCTGCACGGTTAAGCTGATTCATGGATAGAAGTTAAGGGCCCAGTGTAGTACCTGAACTTTCTTGCTGGGGACTCTGTCAAGAGCCTGGATTAGAGAACCTGTGGCATTAGGGTGCGACTGCCGTGGGAACCCAGTAACCAGTGACTGTCTCTTATGGCCTCTGTAGCTCCAGCCCCTCAGAAGGGACACCTGCAGTTGGCAGCTATGGCTGTACCCCTCAGTCACTGCCCAAGTTCCAGCATCCTTCTCATGAGCTGCTCAAGGAAAATGGCTTCACACAACACGTCTACCACAAGTATCGTAGGCGCTGCCTTAACGGTAAGAAGTACAGGGAGATTAGAACCGAGCTGATGAGACGTGTAAGGGCTAGCGGGGTGCTGGATAGAGTTACTGTTTTCAGACCTTAGAGCGAGAAGTGACATGACAGGGTGGCAAAAAGGATTAAAGTTAAATTCTGGCCAGTTGGTTGGAAATGCAGGAAACTAAGGGAATGGCACTCCGAGCATTCCTCTGCTTCCTTGGTTGTCTTCTGTTGATAGGAAAATGTCAAGCGTTTGTATTTCTGGCAAGATTGCTGACTCCGATGTTGTCCAGAGTGACCCACAGTCCATACCAGAAGAGAGGGTGTGCAGGAGGTGGCTCATACTGTCTCGAACAAGAGTTTTCCGAACTATGGGTTGTGGGACAAACCCAGCCAGCATTCTGGTTTTGTACAGTCCTGGAGCTGAGAACACTTTTTAAACTTTTAATAGGTTATAGAAAAAAGAATTTGGGACAGATTGTATGTTGCCTGCAAAAGCTCAAACAGTTTATTCTGTGGCCCTTTACAGAGAAAAGTTAGCCGACCTCTGCTGTAGGGGATGGTGCAGTAGCTTAATTCTGTCATGTGTTCATTTTTATCATGAAACAAGATGTCTTCTAACTGTAGCTATTTTGATAGGCTGGTTGTGAAGATGCTCAAAACCAATGCTAAAAACCACTCATGGTTATTAACCCACCCCACCTGTTTCCTTTGAGCAAAACATGGCTTGTCAGTTCTGAGTTTATCTTCCTCACTTCCCTCTTCCTTGCTCTGTGTGTAATAACAGCTGTTACTGTATTGAGATGATTCGCATTTTCAACAATCCACCCATTGACATTGTAGAATGCATTGGCTTTTAGTGAATTCACACAGTTGGGTCCATCACCAGAATCAGTCTTAGAATATTTTCCTAACCCTGAAAAGAAACGCCTTCTCAGTTGCTATACACATACACATTCTCCTCCCAGCCCTTGTGAAACTGCTCATCTGCTTTGTGTGTGTGGCTTTGCCTATTCTGGACATAATGCACAAATGGAGTCACACCATCCTTCTTCTTCTGTATGGTTTTTTCTTCTCTTTGAGCATGTTTTCAAAGTACTTCCATGTTGTAAACTGTCAATAACTTCATTCTCTTTTATTGCCAAATCATATTCCATTGTGTGGATAGATAACATTTTGCTTATATATTCCTGACTCAGTGGATGTTTGAGTTGTTTCTGTTTCTTGTCTATGATGAATAATGCTATGCACATTGATACAGAAATTTTCATTTATATTGACTGGGAGGGTAGCATTGTGATTGTATGGTAATGATATTTAACCTGTTGAGGACCTTCAGAACTCTTCCACAGTGGCAGGACGTTTTGTGTTCCTAATAGCAACATGTGAAGGATCTCCTTTCTCCACAGACTCCCAGCACTTACTATTGTCTGGCTTTTTTTTTTTTTTTTTTTTTTTTTTTTTTTTTACAGCTATGCCATTCTATTGCGTATGGAATGATTTTGGTTCAAATTTCTTTGGTAGCTAATGATGAGCATTTTTTGTGTGCTTATGGGCCATTCATTTATCTTTTGTGGAAAAATGTCTATTCAGATCCTTTTTAAACTGGGGATTGCATTCTGTTCGTGCTCAGCCTTGTTCTCCCTACGCTTCAGAGTGATCTCGGTTGAGCTGAACAGCTAGACTGGCAACCTGGTTCAGAAACTGGTGCCACCTGCTTCTGGCAAGGCTCAGGGACAGACACAAAGCCAGTAGTGCCCAGTAAGTACGTGCTAACTGACAAAAGTGGCAGCTGATGGGCAAGGGAATTTGGAGGTACAAGAGAAAGAACCAAATGCTGTTGTCCCAAGACCCTTTGTCCTCAAAGCCAGGACAGCTTGACCCTGAGACATATTCTTCATCCTTCCTTCCCCATCAGAGCGGAAACGCTTGGGCATTGGCCAGTCTCAGGAGATGAACACTCTCTTCCGTTTCTGGTCCTTCTTCCTCCGTGATCACTTCAACAAGAAAATGTATGAGGAATTCAAGCAGCTGGCTCTGGAGGATGCCAAAGAAGGCTACAGGTGAGAAGGATTAGAGCAGGGGACTCTGGTGCCTGGGGTGCGTGGGAGGAGTCTGGGCAGGCAGTAGTGAAGAGTCTGCTTCTTGCACTGAAACTGGAAATTTCTTACAGAAGTTTATAGTTCAAATAGTGGGCCCCCAATTTTTTTCTTTGAAATGAATATTGTATTCATATGGCTCAAAGTTAAAGGACTTTAAAATATTATTCTTTTTTTTTTTTTTTTTAGAACCCTTGAATGTCCTTCTTTTTTTTTTTTTTTTTATTTATTTATTTTATTTATTTTTTTTTTTTTGACAGGCAGAGTGGATAGTAAGAGAGAGAGACAGAGAGAAAGGTCTTCCTTTGCCGTTGGTTCACCTCCAATGGCCGCTGCGGCCGGCGCGCTGCGGCCGGCTCACCGCGCTGATCCGATGGCAGGAGCCAGGAGCCAGGTGCTTTTCCTGGTCTCCCATGGGGTGCAGGGCCCAAGCACCTGGGCCATCCTCCACTGCACTCCCGGGCCACAGCAGAGGGCTGGCCTGGAAGAGGGGCAACCGGGACAGAATCCGGCGCCCCAACCGGGACTAGAACCCGGTGTGCCGGCGCCGCTAGGCGGAGGATTAGCCTAGTGAGCCGCGGCGCCGGCCTAAAATATTATTCTTTCCCCATAGGTAACCAGTATTGTTAGAATCTTGTAGGCCTTTTCTACAAATGCTTTTTATCTCTGTAAGCAAGTATAGAGCCATGTTGTCTCATCACCACTACTCGCCTTGTTTATGCAAAGGTGACCTAGGGGCAGACAGTTAGCCTAGCACGATGCCCAGGTCCCACACTGACGTTCCTTGGTTCAGTCCCTGGTTCTGGCTGCTGACCCAGCTTCTTGCCAGTGAACAACCTAGGAGGCAATGGTGATAGCTCAAGTGATTGGGTCCCTCCTGCCCACATGGAAGACATTGAGTTCCTGATTCCCAGCTTCCTCCCCAGCATGGCCCTGCCCTAGTCCAACTGGAAGAGGCATCTGAACCAGTGCATGGGAGCACTCTCTTGCTCACCCTGTCTCTTTACCTCTCAAATAAATAAAGTAAAACTTTTCCTAAGAAACTTTATAAGGCCTCCTTCCAGATTTTCAAAAAAAAAATGTGGCTCTTTCTGACAAGTTGGAAAGGAGAGCACAGTTTACAGAAGCCAGGAAAGCAGGCAGCAGGTGTGCAGGCTGTGACATCAGTCTGGCCAGCCTCGCCTTGTCTGACCTGATCTAGCGTCTCTAGTGTATTTAGCTTCTCCTGTGAATGCCCTTCAGCGTCTTTTCACTCACAAGCTTGAGCACTTTCCCTCGTACAGAAGTTGTAATGTGGTTTCTGTAGAAAGTTCAGAAAATACAGATAATACGACTTGAGAAATCCAGTCCTCAATGATAAATAACAGATGAACAATTTACAGATTGGTTTACAAAAATGAGATTGTTCTACATGTGCTATGGACATGTCTTTTCTACTTGTTAGTAAATTGTAAACATCTTTCAGTATCCATAAATGTACATTTACACTATACTTGTTAATAATTTGTATCATTCCATTGTATAGATTTACCGTGATTTTTCTTTTGTAAAGAGATTTATTTATTTGATAGTAACAGAGGGAGAGACAACAGAGAGAGATCTTCGTTGACTGTTCTATTCCCCAAATGACCGCAATGGCTGGGGCTGATCCAGACCAGAGCCAGTAGCCTAAAATTCCATCTACGTCTCCCCTGTGGGTGACAGGGCCCCAAGGACTTGGGCCATCTTCCGTTGTTTTCCCAGGTACATTAGCAGGGAGATGGGTAATAGTGGAGCAACCAGGACTCAGACCAGCACTGTTAAACAGGATGCTGGATGCTGGCATTGCAAGTGTTAACCTGCTGTGTTAACCTGTTGTGTTACACTGGTCTCCCTTTTTTTTTTTTTTCTTTTCTTTTTGTTTTTCTAAGGATGCCCACATGCTTTTCTTTTCTTTTCTTTTCAGGATTTTTATTATTTATTTGAGAGAGAGAGAGGGAGAGACAGAAAAGTCTTAAATTTGCTGGTTCACTCCCCAAATGGCTGCAATGGCCAGAGCTAGGCTGATCCAAAGCCAGGAGTTTGTTGCAAATCTCCCACGTGGTTGCAGGGGCCCAAGCACTTGGACCATCTTCTACTGCTTTCCCTTGCCATAGCAGAGAGCTGGATCAGAAGAAGAGCACTGGGACTCTAACTGGTGCCCACTGGGGATGCTGACGCTGAAGGCGGAGAGTTAGCCTACTACACCATAGCTCTGGGCCCTCTTTCTTTATTTTTAATATTTATGTATTTTTTATTTGAAAGGCAAAGTGACAGAGTTAGAGAAAGCTTGAGATCTTCTTTCTACTGGTTCACTCCCCAAATGGCCACAGCAGCCTGGGCTGGGCCAAGCTAAAGCCAGGAATTCCATCCAGGTCTCCCACAGGGGTTGCAAGGGTTTAGCTATTTGAGCCACTGTCTGCTTCCTTCCCAGGTGCATTGGCAGGAAGCGAAGCAGCTGGTACTGAAAGTAACTTTCTGATAGGGGATACGGGTGTCCTTAATGGCAGCTTACCTCGCTGCCCCAGTACCCACCCATGGTTTTTCTTCGGTGTTGTTAGACACTTACATTTTGTTTAATAATACTACTATGAACATTTTTGTTCATGTGTGAAATAGTATTTAATTTATTTGAAAGGTAGAGTTAGAGAGAAGGAGAGACAGAGAAAGATATCTTCCATCTACTATTTCACTCGCCAGATGGCCAAGACTGGGCCAAGCCAAAGAGAGAAACATCATCCTGGTTTCTTATGTGGGTGGCAGTGCCCCAACCACTTGGGCCATGTTTTGCTGCTTTCCCAGGCACATTAGGAAGGAGCTGGATCAGAAATGCAGCAGCCAGAACCTGAACTGGTACCCATGTGGGGTGCCAGCCTTGCAGGCAGTGGTTTAACCTGCTCCTGCTGAATCAGAACACCTACCCCTGTGTGTAAAATCTTATTAAGCATTTTGGTCTTTTTACTTGGCATATGCTCCTAGGAATAAGGTGTCTTGAAGTCAGATAAATAAATAAACCTGCTAACTGGCATGTAGTGGCTATGCAGAGCACTGATTCTGGAGATTAATATTTTTTTTCTATAAAGGGGCAGACAATAAATCTGTTTGGCTTGGTTGGCCATAAGGTCACTGTCATAACTATTCAGTTCTGCTTCTATAGCAAAAAGCAACCAGAGGCACTGTAAACAAATACATGTGAACAGATGTGGGTTGGGGACAGAGAGGGTTTGCTGACTAGAAACATTTAATGCTAGACACTCTTAGACTGGCTTCAAATGTTGGCCATCTTTAAGCCTATATGCTGTTTTCTCAGAATGAGAGTAATGCACTATTTAAACTGATTGTTCCTCTTACACAGGAACATTATCCATTTTGCGGAGAAAACCTTGCACCTTGATTTCACTGATGAATGTTCTGTGTTCTCCAGATATGGTTTGGAGTGCCTTTTTCGCTACTACAGTTACGGCCTGGAAAAGAAGTTTCGGCTGGACATATTCAAGGATTTTCAGGAGGAAACTGTGAAGGACTATGAAGCTGGTGAGGGCAAAGCTGGATCTCCGTGAATTCTGGTCACCCAAGCCTTTGTCCTGTCTCCGGATCTTAGTGGGGTCTTCTGTGTGTCGTTCCACACCTCCTTCTGTTAGCCTCATCTTCACCAACCCTGCTTCTCCCTACCTTTTTCTCTTCTTTCCCTACAGGCCAACTGTATGGGCTGGAGAAATTCTGGGCCTTTTTGAAATATTCCAAAGCCAAAAATTTGGACATTGACCCCAAACTGCAAGAATACCTCGGCAAATTCCGACGTCTTGAAGACTTCCGAGTGGATGTAAGTAAAAATCTGTTTTCTGGAAGTCCTGCTTTTCCTTTAAAGAAGTTGGACCAGGAATTGGTATACTAGGGTTCTGATCCCATCTGTGCCACCAGCTTGGGACCATTTTTCCTGCGCCGCCCCCCGCCAGTTTGGGCTGCAGTTTTTTTCTGTGTCTGGTGTGTGTGTGTGGTGGTGGTGGTGTGGTATGGAGGGAGGGGGGGGGGGGCGATGTCCTTCCCCTCCAATCCCAGCACCCTCCTTGCTGTGGACTGGTTGGTCGAGATGGGTACCCGCGTAATGTATGTGCTCTCTCTGGCAAAGGCCACTTCCAATCCCGCAAGTTTGTTAAGTGATAGCTGTGTCTCCATCCATCTTCTTGCAGCAGTGCCTCAACAGTGACATCCAGTGGTGGGTCTGAGCTGTTGTATCAAGGGAGGATGGTTGGGTAATTTGAGCAGATACTAATGAGGTGTCTCTGTGCTAGGTGCTCTAGGAACTCCAGAGAACAGGGAAAGGTGTTTTTTTTTTTTTTTTTCCTTCCAAGAGTTTTTAATGTGGTAGAGCTCTCTTTAGTCATCTTACTCCTTTCAAAACTTTTATAACAAAAAGGAAAATAGAAATAAATGGCAATGCTATTCCATTTATTGTTTTCCTTTTTTAAATTTTTTTAAAAGATTTATTTATTTATTTGAAAGAGTTAGAGGAGAGGCAGAGAGAGAGAGAAAGGTGTTCCATCCACTGGTTCACTCCCCAATTGGCCACAATGGCCGGAGCTGCGCTGATCAGGAGCCAGGAGCTTCTTCTGGGTCTCCCAAGTGGGTGCAGGGGCCCAAGGACTTGGGCCATCTTCCACTGCTTTCCAGGCCATAGCAGAGAGCTGGATTGGAAGAGGAGCAGCCAGGCCTTGAACCAGCACCCAAAAGGGATGCTGGCACTTCAGGCCAGGGTGTTAACCTGCTGCACCACAGCACCGGCCCCTTTTTGAGATTTTTTTTTTTAATAGCAGAGACCTAAGGAATAGTTTTGTTTTGTTTTGTTTTAACTTTATCTTATTTATTTGAGAGGGTGATCTTTCATTTCTTAGTTTATTCCCCAAAAGGCCTCATCTTCTGGGTCTGGGTCAAGCTAAAGCCAGGAGGTCCATCCAGACATAAAATCAGGCATGTTGCTTTACCAGATTCACTAGCCAGTGGACTAGATTGGAAGTAGAGCAGCTGAGACTTGAACCATGACTCATGAAATACCAGCATCGCAGATGGTGGCTTAACCTGCTGTGCCACAATGCCAGCTCCACATTTATTATTTCAAAATTAGCATTTCTTGAGTGTTTACCATGTGCCGGACTTTTCTGAAGCCGCTGCTTATAACTACAGTATAAAGATGAGCCTGCAGCACTGTGGCGTAGCCATTAAAGCCGCCGCCTTCAGTGCCAACATCTCATATGGGCACCGGTTCAAGTCCCAGCTGCTTCACTTCGAGTCCAGCTTTTGTCTGTGGCCTTGGAAAGCAGAAGAAAATGGCTCAAGTCCTTGGGTCCCTGTACCCACATGGGAGACCCATAAAAGGCTCCTGGCTTCGGATCGACGCAGTTCCAGCTGGTACAGCCAACTGGGGAGTGAGCCAATAAATATTTAAGAAAGAAAAGAAAAAGATGAGCCTAGGGGCTGGTGCTTTGGCACCGGTTAAATCTGCAGTGCCAGTATCCCATATGAACACTGGTTCAAGTCTCAGCTGCCTGCTTATGTGCCTGGAAAAACAGCAGAAGATGGCCCACGTCTTTAGGACTCTGCCATCCACAGGAGAGACCCAGGTGGAATTCTGGGCTCCTAGCTTCTGCCTGGCCCAGCACAATGCATTGTGGCCATTCAGGGAGTGAACCAATGGATGGAAAAATCTCTGTCTCCCTCTGCCTTTCGAATAAATAAATCTTAGAAAGAAAAAAGACAGTCTGATTTTCTTCCCTCCTTAGGTGCTCCTGTTCTTGAGAAACAGGCAGGTTACAAGTGCAGAGAACTCTCATGATAGGTGGACTTGTTAGGGTGAAACAGAAGGACCCAGCATTGGTGCTCACAAAGGAAGGGAAATGTCCCTGAGGTTAGAGAACCGTTGGCAGCCACAAGGTCGGACTGGGTCATGGTGTGCTGCTTGGGTCAGTGTCCTTTTCGGCACCAAGAAGGAGTGAGGTGGTCCCTAGAAACATCTGGGCCTTGGGAGCTGCGACTTCTGGGCATCCTCAGGCCTCATTCTACACATCGCTTCCTAAGCCAAAACCCTCCCTCAGGGTTTTGGTCCTAGGTGAACCCAAAATTTTTTTTAAAAAATTTATTTATTTGACGGTCAAAATTACACAGAGAGAGGAAAGGCAGAGAGAGAGGTCTTTCATCCGCTGATTCACTCCCCAGTTAGCTGCAATGGCTGGAGCTGAGCCGGTCCAAAGCCAGAAGCCAGGAGCTTCCTCTGGGTCTTCCATATGGGTGCAGGGGCCCAAGGACGTGGGCCATCTTCTGCTGCTTTCTCAGGCCATAACAGAGAGCTGGAATGGAAGTGGAGCAGCTGGGACTCGAACCGGTGCCCATATGGGACGCTGACACTACAGGCAGCAGCTTTACCCACTATGCCAAAGCACTGGCCCCAAACCTAAATTTTGTCTTTGCCAGCTACCAGCTGTGGAACCCTGGGAAAATTATTTTTCTGTGCTTTGCTTTCCTTATGTGTAAAATTAGACAATTATGTATACATCAAAAGGTGATGAGGACCCTGTGAGAGAACATTTGTAAAACAGCACCCTGCTGGGTGTGGAGAAAGGCTTACTGGCTGGTAATTCCTTTCTGAGTCTAAACCACTTATCTGTATTTGGAAGTAGAGAGTGGATCTCTTGACAGCCATGGCAAGGAAGGAATTAGGGGTTGTACCCCCAATCACCTGTGACTCCCTCCTCTGTTGCAGCCACCCATGGGTGAGGAGGGCAACCACAAGCGACACCCAGTGACAGCAGGAGGTGGTGGCGGAGAAGGCAGGAAGCGGTGCCCTTCACAGTCTTCCAGTAGGCCTTCCACCGTGATCAGCCAACCCCTTACTCCACCCACCGGCCAGCCTACGCGGGAGGATGCCAAATGGACAAGCCAGCACTCGGATACACAAACTTTGGGAAAGTGAACAGCCCTTTAGTCCTGGGGTTGGGGGGGAGGGGGAAGAGGTGGGGTGGGGCAAGAGTCCATGGGGGTGCCCAGTCCCAGGAGAGGGGACAGAGAAGGGACAGGCCTGGAGATGTGAGGACGGCCTTCATGCTGAGTAGCAACACGATTTGGGCTATTTGAGGTCCCCCTGGGCAGGAGCCTCCACGTAACCCCTTCCCTCCTCTCTCCATGACTCTTCACATCCTAGCTTCTTCTAAGGGGGGGGAGGGAAAGGGGGGAGATTTTTTTTATATATATATTATATATATATATATATCAAGTTTTAAATTATTGATAGTTTGTCTGGATTACCAAAATCACTTTGCAGTCCTGCCCGCGGCTGGTAGGCCGCAGCCCTGGTCCTACCCACCCCCAGCTCCTGCTGTCCCCCTCAAGCCAACTATGCAGCCCACAAGAAGGCCCCTGTGGGCCCCGTCGCCTGGCACTGTCCCACAGAAGGCTCTGGCAGTGCCCCTGGGCCCCTGGAGCCGCCAGCCCCTGGATCATCTGGGGTTTACCGTCACCATGTTCTCTCCCTACCATGCCCTTCTGCCATCTTCTGGGAGAAGGAAACCAAAGGATCTACAAGTGGGAGTGGGGAAGCTCTCAGCATCTCCATTCCTCCTCTACACGCCCCTTACTCCCCAGCCCAGAGAGACGCTGCTCATACCAGAAAAGACTATTGAAAGATGATTTATTTTATTTTTCTCTGACCTTTCCATCCTTGGGAAAATGGAAAAAAAGAAAAAAAAGACAAAAATCGACCATAAAAGACCAAAAAAAGAAAAAAAGAAAAAAAAATAAGATCAGAAAACCCCCACCTAATCCACAGAAAGTGATGTCTTTCCCCTCTCCTTGGAATTTTTTTTGTTTGTTTTGTTCTTGGAAATAATATTTTTTTAAAAGTTGCCTTATTGTGGAGCGGGAATCTGAAATAATACCCAAATGCCTGTTTTCCTTGGTGGAGTCCACCTGAAGAGCTCCCACCTTCTCTGGATGTGCCTGGGCTTGGACTGGCTAGAATCTTTCTCTGGACTGAGTTGCATGTACAGTGCCTCCTGCCTGGAGGCAAGAGAGTTGGCGGCGGCTCGCATCAGAGTCCTGCCCAAAATACCCCTGCTGTTGCATCGTTTGAAGCTGACGTCCTGTGTCTGTACACTGCTGCCACTGTCGTGTCCTCGCTCTGCTTGCTGTTGCCTCACGCCAGGCCCCGGCCTGCCGTGACACCCTTCATCCTACCCTTGGAACCCTGAGGCCAAGTTTGCTTCAAACTGTTGGAGAACAGAGTTGGCCTGGCTCCGGAACACATGTGTCCTCAGCAAGGACTCGTCTCACCCGCCCCACAGGGGATAGGCGAACCCCGGCAGCTGAGGCTCAGAAATGTTTCTTGTGTTGCTTGAAAGATCTGAGACCTCACGGAGGCTTTGTCTCATCGCAGCCGGAGAAAGATGCCATTCTCCTGGGTCTGGGGGTCTCCTCATCTCGCATTCCCCTCTGCAAGCCATCTCTGCCCACCCTCCGAGTGAGCCGGCCCGGGAGCAAGAGATGAGGAGGTGCTGGGGGCTGGGGGGAACCCTGCCCATTGGTGAAGCCCTGTGGCAGGAAGGTATATGTGGACATAGAGTATACCTGACTTCTCTTCTCCAGCCACTGACTGCCTGGGCTGGGCCGTGAATGACAGTGGAAAGGCTGGAGTCTGCTGTCGTCAAAAACTAGGGAGGGTGATAAAGGACTGATCCACGCAGCCTGGCACATGTGTTGGGTATGGGTGTGACTGTTCACCCAGTGGGAACTGGGCAAGGAGAAGAGTGTGGTCTCACTGCTCAGCTGCTGAAACTGTTGGCCTTGCTTTTCAGCTGGTTCTCTGTTGGGCCCGAAGGTCAGGAGTAGGAGACGGTATCCCAGGCTGACAAGGGCTTGCCCTCTGTCTCGAAGGGCACGGTGTTGCCTTAGCCTGCACCCTCCCCCACCTCTGCCCTCCGGGTGGTTAGTACAGAGACCCAGTTGTCTGATGGGTGTCTGGTCTTGGCTACAGCGGTGGAAGCTGAGGCCTGTCCCTCCCCAGCCTGGTGCCTCCCCGACATGGTACCAGACACTGGTCTCTTGGACCCTCTCCTTGAGCCCCCCTCCCCTTTTGTCCCCCTCCAATCCCTCAGCCCTGTACTGTATCCAGCACCACAGCAACCTCAGTGTTTGGCCTCTGCCGGGCATGGGGGCACAAGGAAGCTTTGGGATGTGGAAAGGCTGTTCTGCAGAGTTGACCCCCAGGCTAGGGGGCTGCCATCCTCTCCCCAGTCCTCCACAGACACCACTGGAAGAGGAAGCCCCTTAGGAGTGGGAGGTGAGGACTTCATCTCAACATAGGCTGAGGGAGGGGAGGGGCTGTTTTCTTTCTTTCTTTCTTTTTGTAACATGTTAGGAGTTAATGTTGCAAAGAGTAGTTTACATCTTCACTTTCTGAAGACACTTGAATTTAGGACCGATGTATCTGTGACTAGCATGCCAGGAGTGGCAGGGGCCGGCAGGCCTGGCCACTTTACACCCACCGTCCTCCCCCGTGGGGGCCCAGCACCTGAGACACAGAACGACAGCCTGCTCACCCCTCTGTCCATCCCACGACCCTCAAGGCTGGTCCATGCCTACATGACCTTTGGGCTCCAAACATCAGAAGGTCTGTGTGCCTCCGCCCTATTAGGGCAGATCTCCTTGCCCCGCCGTGAACCCGGGAGACAGAGAATGGCCACCGGCTCCTGCCCCAGCCTGGACCCCTGGGGCTCACAGGTGCTGAGCCCCCCATCAAAGTTGTTCAAACATTTTTGTTTTGTTCCATTGTAGCTCTTTTTTTTTTTTTTTTTTTTTAAAAAAAAAAAAAAACACACCCTTTCCTGATGATTGATTTCCAAAAGAAAGTAAGCTGCTCAAAAGGCCCTAGAGTGGGATGGAGGGGCAAGAAGATGGCGGGGTGGGGGTAGGGTGCCCCAAGCCTGAGTGAGGCAGATCCAGCTCATTGGGCACCCTCAAGAATGGGACCCTAAACTGTCTCCTGTGTGGAAGGGTCCGTGTGTTCTCCCCAGCCCGGTCTGCTCCTCCTCCAGCCATGTTGATGGCAGAGGCAGAGAAGATAAGAACTTACAGCCCATTTCTCACTGGAGAGGAAAACTTGTCATCTGGCTTTGCAGAGAAGGTTCCACCTTATGCTCGTAGAACATTCTCTTTACCATGTGCTAGGATATCACATTCAAAAGGACAAAAAAAATGTAAAGTACTTGAATGAGCTTGTATTATAACATTAATATTATTGAGAGTATCTGCTTTCCAGGCTGAAGTGATTCATTCATTATTCTAGTCCTGCTTTAGTCCTTTGTAATTTGTGGTAATTATGCTTTTCTTTTTAATACAAAAAAATGTATAAAAATAAAAACTTGAAAAGGCAAAATACTGGCTGGTCTCCCATCTGGGCGTCGCTGTCGGGTGTGAGACATGGAGCCCAGCCCTCAGGGGAGCTCTGCCATTGGGCTCACAGGGAGTTGCCCAAGGTAGGGGCTCCTTACAGAGCTTTTAAGGTGACAAGTGCATCCAGGTGACCTCCTCGTTGGTCTTTTGAGCTTCTACCAGCCTTGAATTCAAGTGCACCTGTGTCTTCAGTGAGACGCAGGGACCATGGCCAGTGCCGCAGCAAGCAGAGACCAGTGCAGCAATTTGAGGATTTCAGCCTGCTTCATGGATCCCAGTTTCCCAGCCTGTGGTGTGATGCTGTGCGTGGTGGATCTGCACAGACTCTCCCACGGGGTTAGGAAGGCGTAACGGTGAACATTGTAGCCTGGGGGAGCCCCCACAATGTGTGGTTACAGAGCTACCGGTGTGGCCTTTGCTTATTTGACAGCTGTTTATCTCCAATACCTGGCACTTCCTATTAGAAATGTTCTTTTTTTTTTTTTTTTTGACAGGCAGAGTGGACAGTGAGAGAGAGAGACAGAGAGAGAAAGGTCTTCCTTTGCCGCTGGTTCACCCTCCAATGGCCGCCGCTGCAGCCGGCGCACTGCGCTGATCCTGGCAGGAGCCAGGAGCCAGGTGCTTTTCCTGGTCTCCCATGGGGTGCAGGGCCCAAGCACCTGGGCCATCCTCCACTGCACTCCCTGGCCATAGCAGAGAGCTGGCCTGGAAGAGGGGCAACCGGGACAGAATCCGGCGCCCCAACCGGGACTAGAACCCGGTGTGCCGGCGCCGCAAGGTGGAGGATTAGCCTATTGAGCCACGGCGCCGGCTAGAAATGTTCTTTTTGGAGAGTTTTTTCACTGTCCTTCTGATGAGCAGGTACTTCAGTGTCAGCAGTGGCCTCTGTAGGCCACAGGAGAGTTAAGCAGTGGTCAGGGCATCAGTGGACTGATTGGTACCTTGTGAACAGACATGCCAGTTAACTCAATCTCACTTCTACCTGTTCCTGTTAGAAATGGCTAATGAAAAAGGCTACTGGTATCTGATGGCAGTGCCAGATGGAATGGTCAGGAGTGTTAGAACAAGTCTTTGTAGCAAAACAAACTGGAGTATCTGCTGGTATTATATGGAGACTGGTTAATTTTGCAAGGTTTCTCCTTTCATGTTCACATTCTGCTGGAACTTTAAGTCCTTTTTGGAAGCCTTTATTTACCAATTTAATGGCCATTCTGTTTGATGGAGAAAAGGATAGGGCTGGACCCCTCTGTCAGGGACCACCAACCTGTCTGCAAAAAGGGGGAAGAGAATGGTCTTGTCCCACTGGACAACAAGCAAAAGATCTTAGTGGAGGTGGGGGTGGGGTGCTACTGCTCTCTTTCCTCTGCCGTGCTCTTTGATGCATATACTCAAGATTGACTCTTTTCCCCAATGTTTATTTGTAGGAACGGGTAATGGATGGTCAGGCCTGCAGCCATGAGAACTTAGTGCTTTGATGCACCAGAAGCTGTCCATCAAGTGAAGGTGGGCAGGCAGGGCTTTGGAAGGCCAAGGGAGGATGCTGTCCCTACATGCTCGGTTGGCCCTTGAGTCCTAGGGCCTGGCTGCTGGCTCCTGGGAGGAGGCCAGGGTGGGGACTGCTTCAATCCAAGCTCCTCTGTGGTTTGGTATGTGGTTAAAATTTCATTCAGAAAAGCTATCATGGGGCAAGTGTGTATCCTAGAACTTAAGAAGTCTATGTCCCATGGCAGGGTTCAACACCCAGCTCTGGCTTCTGATTTCAGTTTCCTGCTAATGGAGACAGACCCTGGGAAGCAGCAGTGATGGCTGAAGTAACTGTGTGGTTCCTGCCACCCACATGGGAGACCTGGATTACATTCCTAGCATTTGGGGAGCAAACCAGCAGATGGGAGCTCACTTGCTGCCTCTCCAAACACAGATAGTTAATGGCAAAATGGCATTAAAGGGTAAGTTTATTTAGGAAAAAAGAAGGTATTGCTGCTAAAACCATCCTGAATAAATGGTGCTGATAAAACTGGCTAACTATTTGGAGGAAAAGATTTTGCCCTTTGCTCAGCCATGTTTTCTGGGCTCTGCTAGGAGAGAAGGAGGATTCTAACCTCTTCCTGGTGGACACTGGCTAAGTAAGGATCTCGAGTGTCCCCAACAGCAGCAACCTTTCTGGGAGAAAGAGCTCCCAGCTTAGCACTTTCTTCGGTTTGTCCTTTGGTTCTCGCGTGATAGAAGGTGTCAAGAGTCTGGTCGGCACCTCTTCAGTTTCTGCATTGAGATCCAGGGAGAAACTCAGGACTTTCCTCGTGAGAGGGAAGACTTGGTGGTGGTGGGCACAGTGGAAGTGGGGTGTTGGTCACTGGCCTGTGTGGGTGGTGCTGGACGTCTGTCATGTTAAGAACTGAGACCTGTAAACCAAGCCAGGGGTCCTGGCCCTACTTGGCCTGAATAGTGTGTAAGAAAAGAAAGCCTCCTGGGACAGAACAGGCAGAGTGCCACCTACTTCCACCGCTCCCTGGCACCAGAAGGAGCACTTCCTGGAGCCAGGTGGCCCCCAGTGTCCCCTTTGTCATTCTCTGCATCAAGCCTTTGCCATAGTGAAATCATCTGGGGTGGATCCCCTCGCCCCTTCCACCACAGGGGACCCCAGGACTTGCTGATAGCCCTCAAGGAAGTTCCCCTTACAGCCTCCAGCCAGTAGCACTGTTTGAAGTAGCCAACTCCAGATCCTGTCAGAGAAGTCAAGGGCAGTAAGTTAGGGAGAGCCCTGGCCCCATCCTTGTCCCTGCTTTTCTGGGAAGCTGACCTCCTGGTGCCCTAGTGGTGCCATCATTGGAGACAGTGGCTACAAGGGGCAAAATGTCAGGCGCAGTCATGAGGCTTGGGCATTCCTGGTGTCTCGCTGCTGAGGGGTCAGCCAGGATAGTGCCAGGGCCCTCATTCATTGCATCTTTGGGGAGTCGGGGATGCTCTCCGTGAGCGGGGTGAGGCTCAGCAAGAGGACATGTCTCTCGTAGGCCTTGGACTGCTTGAACACAGTGTCCGTTCCATGGAGGTGGTCCAGCACTCCCAGCACCCCATAGCACTGATTGAACCTGAAGGAGAGAGGAAGGCACTGCAGGGCTGGTGCTAGAGGTCCCTAGGCCAGCCTCTCACCCATTTCTCAGCCCTCCTGCCCACCTGCAGAATAGCCTGGGGGGTGACTGACAGATGCACCTTCCTGGGGCCCCTGCAGACCTGCAAGATCTGGAGTCTGAAAAGCTCCCAGTGCGATTCTGATGTGCACAGGTTTGAAGACCTCTGGCAGGGCCAGGCTTGTTCAGATTCAGTTCATCAGAACCCTTTGGAATGCTGAATAAAATGCAGGCTACAGGTCCTGCTCTCCCAGATACGTGGACTCGGTGATTTCGTTGGAATGGCACCCACGAGCCTGCATGTTAAGCATCTCAGGTGATTCTGGTTTAGGAGGTTTGAAGGCCACACTTGAATAGGCCTGGAAGCTCTCACAGAGGACAAGCTCCTGGGAACTGCGTATATGCATTTTTCTAAGGAGGGTGTCCATAACTTGCATACTGAGAGGAGCCAGGACTCAAAGAAAGGCCAAAACCCTCCAGCTTTAGGAAGACCTCATGTCTGAAGGAAGAGAGCTAGGTAGTGGCCTACTGTGGTCATCACTTCACCTCCAGACTCTGCCCCAACCAGCACCCACATTTAAGCTGTGATGCCAGTGTCTGCCATCAGGAATGCCGCCCTGGGGCGGAGCCTTACTTGAGATGGTGGTAATCATGGAATTCAGGTGAAGGCAGGAAGGGCAGGTGGTAGCCACAGTGGGTTAAGATGGTATTGATGAGGGCCAAGGAAAACCACACGGTGATGGAGGACAAGTGGGAGCCCATCACGAAGGGGCCCACCATCAACGGCAGCATGTTGGAGACCTGCAAGGACAGAGATGGCAAGTCAGGACCCAGCGGATGGAGCCAGAGGAAGACGTCCTTGACTTGGATCTGGAGAAGTTGAAATACATTCACCTTTGTCACTTAGGACAACTTAGTGACTGAGCCTCAACCCCCTCATCAGCAAAAGTAGTATCAAAAAAGGGTTAAATGAGGCCATTTACTCTGGGTACCTAGTATAACCTGATGTATGGGAGGTTGACCATAACGGCTAGCAATCTAATGAGAAGAAGAAAGGAAGGGGGTGGGGGATAGATTGCGGCACAGCAGGTTCAGCCACTGCTGGTAATGCCGGCATCACATAGCAGAGTGCCAGTGCAAGTCCTGGCTGCTCCACTTTCAATCCAGCTCCCTGCTAATGCACCTGGGAAGGCAGCAAAAGATGGCCCAAGTGCCTGGGCCCCTGCCACCCATGGGGGAGGCCCAGATGGAGTTCCTGGCCCATCCCTGGCTGTTGTGGCCATTTGGGGAGTGAACCCATGGTTGGAAGGTCCCTCCCCTTCTCTCTCTCTTGCTAAAAAATTAATCCAGGTCTGCAGACCCAGAAAGAGGTTTGGAGCAGTCAGCCCTTTGCCCGTGGGGGGACTGGATCTCTACTCACCACGTGCTCTACGGGGTGGGAATAGAGGGAGATCACAGCAATGGGGGCTGTCCACTCGTGGTGTTTCTTGTGGATTTTCCTGTAGAGTACTGGGTGGTGAAAGAGCCTAGGAGAATGGTTAAGAGTCAGTAGTCTGCCGGTTCTCCCTCCTCCCTCCCCTGCCAGACCATGAGAGACCAAAGTAGGAGCGCGGGGTTGCATCTGCAGCAGGTCACAGCTCCGGCACTCACACCTGCCTTGGAGCTCAGATGCCGTCCCTTAGGTTGCATAATGTGCGGTCGGGTCTCTTGACCTCTCTACCCATGATTCCTGCTGTTGAATGGGAATCTGATAAGGAAATGCCTGGGAAATCGCCCAATCTCCCACACAGATGGAGAGACTTTTATGGACATTGGTCGGGTTGTCCCAAGTTGTCAGTTCTGGGGCAAATAGTTGTCTCTAGGGTTGCTGGTCCCATACCTACAATTTGGAGGCCTCATTATTCACTGCTAAGTGAGCCCAGGTAGGTGAGGAAGCAGCAACGGCCAGGCAGGGGCCCTCCTCACCGGTGTGAGTAGTAGAACAAGACTTCCTCCATCAGGGTGAAGACTGCCAGCTCCAGGAGAAAGCAGTGGAAGGTAGGCAGCTCTCGGCGGCAGGGGCCCCCCCGCCACTTGAGGAACGGATAGAAGAAGACCACCATGGGGAAAGAGATCATGAACTGGTTGACAAGAACCGTGGAGACAGCCCGGCGTAGTTTCACGGGGTCCACCTGCCCAAAGGAAGGAAGGCAAGAGATGGCTGAGAGTGAGAAGTAAGCTCAGTCCTTGTAGAAACCAAGCTTCCGGGAGTTCCACACTCAGGGTTGGATGCTGGCAGTGTATACCTCTGGGCATAGCAGCTCCCAACTTGTCCCCACCCCCAGCCAGGGCAGGAAGGCTCTGGCTGTCACAGGGGGAGTGCTGTTGGTCTTGGCCACTCCCAACAGCCTTGACTCTGCCTGAGCCTGCCTTCCCCCTTCCTAGCTCTACACGCATCGTCACTGTCCTCCCCATGAATTCCTGGCAGGTAGCTTGGGGAGCCTTTGGGGTGCTCGGAGAAGGCTGTTGGCTCTCAGGCTGACGTGCATCTCATGCCTCGTCACGTGGGGAAGCTTGTTCACCACCAGAGGCCTGTCGCCTGCCTCCTCGACTGGCCCAGCCACACTGGCCTAGGCCCAGAGCATGGAAGGCGAGCCAGGCAGCTGCTTTGCTGGCCGCTAGACCGCCTTCCTGGTTTTCTCAGTGGAGCTGTCAGGATAGGGGGGATGTCCCTTGGCAGGATGCCTGCCTAGGCATTTTCTCCAGTGTCCACTTGGAGAGCTGTGGCTCCACGTGCCCATAGCTCATTCGGCCTCAACACCGCAGACGATACAATACTGCCCTCAAGAACCAGGGACTCCTGGACCCTTCCCTTTGTCAGAACACGAGTTCCAGGGCCCAGCTCTGTGAGCACAGTTCACTTCTTGGGAGCTGATGCACTCGTTTGGGATTGGTTAGAGGGATTTCTCCCTGAGTTCCCTCTGCAAGCTGGAGAAGTTTGTCCCCAAGGTGAGGCCAGGTGCAGAATGGCCCCCACACTTGAGGCCTCTTCCTCTGCCTTCAACCTTTCCAGGCCCTGCAAGCCTTGACTGACTTCAGAACTCACACCTTCATTTTTTTCCTTCTACCTACTGTGTCCGGCAAGCCTGGTCAGATGAGGCCATTCACCTCCCCCTGAAGCCTTGACGGAGAGGTGAGTGTCAGATCTGTTTATTCACTCATTCATTTATCGAGCACCCTCGGCGTGGCGCTCAGGGTTCCAGGTGGTGAAAGTAAAGCAAAGAGGAAGCAGATTGCTGTCCCTGTGCAACTTAGATCCCAGTAGAGAACACAGACTGGAAACAAGAAATAGAAAAATGTACGTAATGTAATAGAAAGTGGCATTTGCGCCGGCGCCGCGGCTCACTAGGCTAATCCTCCGCCTTGCGGCGCCGGCACACCGGGTTCTAGTCCCGGTTGGGGCACCGGATTCTGTCCCGGTTGCCCCTCTTCCAGGCCAGCTCTCTACTGTGGCCAGGGAGTGCAGTGGAGGATGGCCCAAGTGCTTGGGCCCTGCACCCCATGGGAGACCAGGAGAAGTACCTGGCTCCTGCCATCAGATCAGCGCAGTACACTGGCCGCAGCGGCCATTGGAGGGTGAACCAACGGCAAAGGAAGACCTTTCTCTCTGTCTCTCTTTCACTGTCCACTCTGCCTGTCAAAATAAAATAAAATAAACTTAAAAAAAAAAAAGTGGCATTTGCTTTGGTCAAAAGAAAAAGGAGGGAAGGGGCTTTGGGAGTACCAGCGAGGAGGGGGGTCACCATTAATTTCAAATAGAATGGCCAGAGCACGCCTTGTTGGGATAATGAAATCGAGTAAGGAGACGAAGAACGTAGCTGAGGCAGGAGCCTTCACAGCAAGGGGACGGCTCTGGCTTGTGGGGTGGGAGGGTAGTGGGGGACTGAGCAGAGGGGAAGAGCAAAGAGCTGGGAGGGGCCAGGTCACATAGGGCACTGCTGGCCTTGTAAAGACTGGAGCTTTTACTGCAAGGGGAACAGGTGGCCATTGCAAGGCTGGGAGCAGAGGAGTGACAAGATCGTTCAGGATCATGCCGGCTGCTGTGCTGAGACGAGGGGAGAGCAATGGCAGAAACAGGAAGACCAGATGGGATTGCAGTCCTGTCACACAGGGAGTGACGGTGACTCAGCCTGGGGTGCTAGCAGGGGAGGTGTGAGGAGGGAGTTGTGGATCTGTTTTGGAAATGGAGCCAGTCGGGCTTCCTGATAGATTGGAAGTGGAGTATGAGAAAAATGAGTAGTCCAGAATGACTCCAAGATTTTAGGCTGAGCAATTGGGAGGGTAGAATTGCCATCAGCTTAGACTGTGGAGGCTGTGGGTGCTAAAGGCTTTAGGGGGAGATCAGAAATTCTCTTTGGGACATGCTGCATTAGAGATGTCTGTTAGCTTCCATGTGCAGATGTCAAGGAAACAGTTGGGAATTTGAACCTGAAACTAAGGAAAGAGTTTTGGGCGAGAGATATACATTTGTGAACTCTCAGCTCTCAAATGGTATTTCAAGTCATGGAACTGGAGCTGGGGTTGTGGAGCAACAGGTTAAGCAGCCGCCTGTGATGCTGATGTCCCATATGAGCACCAGTTGGAGTCTCAGTTGCTCCACTTCCAATTCAGCTCCCTGCTAGTGACCTGAGAGAGCAGCGGAAAACGGCCCAAATGCACGTATCCCTGCCACCCACGTCAGACACCTGGATGGAGTTCCCGGCTCCTGGCTTCAGTCTGGCCATTGCGGTGTTTTGGGGAGTGAACCTGTGGATGGAAGATCTCTGTCTCCCAAAATAGTTATTTTGGGGGCCGGTGCTGTGGTGCAGTAGGCTAAGCCTCCGCCTGTGGTGCCGGCATCCCATGTGGGCGCTGGTTCGTATCCTGGCTGGCCCACTTCTGATCCAGCTCTCTGCTTATGACCTGGGAAAGCAGTGGCCCAAGTGCTTGCCCGTGCACCCACGTGAGAGACCTAGAAGAAGCTCCTGGCTTCTGTCTGGCTCAGCTCTGGCTATTTTGGCCATTTGGGGAGTGACCTCTCTCTCTGTCGCTCCCTCTCTCTGTAACTCTGCCTCTCAAATAAATAAATAAATAAATCTTTTTAAAAAATCAAATATCTTTAGAAAATAATAAAGCCATGGAACTGAAGAGAAACCCGAGGGAATGCAGATAGAACAGAGCCCCAGGGCATCCCACGGTGAGAGGTTGGGGAGACGAGGCTGAAGCAGAAGGGAGCCTGTGCAGGAGCAGCCAGTAAGATGGGGGGAGAACCCAGCTGGGTGAGGGTGTGGTGTCGGTCCGGGAGCCCGGCGAGCCTGCATGCAAGGAGCAGGTGCTGAGCACCTGGGAGAAGGCGCCCGGCGGTCTGCCGAGACCAGCTGAGGCTGGCTTGCTGATGAGCTGGCCGAAAGCAGCTGTGGCGGGCTTCTGTAGGGGGTGGCAGTAGAGTGGGAGGAGGGTTAGGGAGAAGCTGCTGCTGTGATTATTTTAGGAGGTGCAGGCCGAAGCACCTAGGGGTGAAGTCGTCGATGTCTCAAACTTACCTTGAAATGGCTAAGTAAAAAATTATAGACGCTTGTATATTTCTGTTTTTATCTAAAGCAAAAAATTGCTACATGCTTAAAATTGGTGAAGCTGGCCGGCGCCGCGGCTCACTAGGCTAATCCTCCGCCTGCGGCGCTGGCACACCGGGTTCTAGTCCCGGTCGGGGCGCCGGATTCTGTCCCGGTTGCCCCTCTTCCAGGCCAGCTCTCTGCTGTGGCCAGGGAGTGTAGTGGAGGATGGCCCAAGTGCTTGGGCCCTGCATCCCATGGGAGACCAGGAGAAGCACCTGGCTTCTGGCTTTGGATCAGCGCGCTGCGCTGGCCGCAGCATGCTGGCTTCGGCGGCCATTGGAGGGTGAACCAACGGCAAAGGAAGACCTTTCTCTCTGTCTCTCTCACTGTCCACTCTGCCTGTCAAAAAAAAAAAAATTGGTGAAGCTACGTGATATGCAAATGAGTGATTATCGCACTACTTTTTTCAATCCTTCTATGTATAAAATGTTGGGAACAGAGGGTGGCCAGAGGGTCAGGAAACTGCAGCAATTCTTCTAAGGAGCTTCAATGCAAAGGGAAGCAAACGTATGCGTGGACATGGGAGTGGGAACTGGAGTTAGGGATTTTGTTGTTGTGAAAATGAGAAAAAGTACAGCATATTTATGATAATCCGGAGAGTAACAATCGAGGAGAGAGAAAGATGAAGAAAAGAAAAAGAGAAAATTGCTGAAGCAGTGGGAGGGGTGATGGGTGTCGTAGAGAGAGAGAGAGAGAGTGGAGGAATCACCTGCGGACAGAAGCAAGGGGGGGGGTCACCTGTGCTGTCAGGAGGGCGGGCACAGCGTGAGGGTGCAGGTGCTACGGCTCGGCTGCTGCGCTACGAGCCCGCGGAGCTTTCTGCTGCTGCCTTTAATGTTCTCAGTGGAGTAGGAAGCAAGACCAGCCTCTGCGAGAGAGGCTGGGGACAGGGCCCTGAGGACTGGAGGAGAGAGCAGACGGTGTGACCTAGCTTGCAGGACAGCGGGAGAAGAAACAGACCAGCGGTGCGTCACGTGAGTGCTGTGAAGATTTCAGCTCCCTCCTGGTGCCCTGGCTCTGGCGTCTAGGTTCAGAGGTGAGTCCTTCCTGGAGACAGCCAAGGCCTGAATGGCCTGGGGAGGTTCCTTCCTGCTCGCATGCTGGCCTGCATGTACTCAGGGGCTGGAGCACAGGCCTAGCAGTCAGGTGGGACCAGCCCTTGCTCTTTCCTAACAGTCTGCCCTGGAGGTAGTCCCTCCTCCTGGATGAGCCTCCGCTTCTGCCAGCTGCATCCCAGGCTGCCTTTCGGGAGTGCTGCGCTGGGGCGGGTGCCCTGGGAGCTGAGGTGATTCACGCAGGAACCAGAGAGGATGATTGCAAGATGACTGTCTCATCTGGGGAGGAAGCCAGGACATTGGGTGGAGCCCAGGGGAAGAATGTGGGGTTTACAATCAACCTCTTATTTATTGTGTAAGAGAAGGCTTGTGCAGGGGGTTAGAGCGCCAAGCTGGCGAGCCAGCCCAAGGGAGCAGCAAGCCTCACTCTGCAGGGCTGAGTCTGTACCTGGTCTGTCATGGATTTACCCTGGTACCTTGTACTACGTGTTGAATTGAATAAAGAGGAGGGAGGAGCTGCGTACAAAAACACCCATCACCCCCTGCACCGGAATCCACACTCTCGGTCTGTTACAGCGGGCTAGTGCATTGTTTTGGCAGCTGTCTCCCTCCTTCACCGCGACAGCTGACATCTGTGGCTTCAGTGTCCAGCCTTTGCCCCTGAGGATAAAGGGAGGCCTGGCCTCCCAGGGACTCAGCGCAGCACCGGGCTGAGATGATCACTTGTGTTGGCAAAGGGCTGAGGTCGGCGGTGTGGGGCCGCACAGGCAGTGACAGAGCCCGGGCTGGGACTCAGGGACCTGGAACCTTAGTCCCGACTGGCCACCAACCAAGGGGCTCTGAGATTTGGGAGAAATTCTTCCCTCTCTCTGATCTTCTAAAGAGGGGAAGCTTCGCCCTGGCTAGGCTGGCTCACACGGGTGAGGGCTGCCCTGCGCCAGTAGAGTGGCTTTTCCTTCTTGCTTTCGGCGCTATGGTCTGGGGGCCGGGGCGGCAGCCACACTTACAGGCTCATTCTTGCCAGCCTGGATGCGGTAGCGGGAGATGAAGCTGGGTTTGCCCGTGGTGTCGACCACCAGGAGGAGCCCACTGAAGACCCAGAAGACCAGAGCAGGCACCCCGGTGGCACCTGAATTTGGGAAGCAGAAGGGAGCGGTCAGAGCAGTTTTAGGTTCCCACAGCGCACGTTTCAACCCAATACCCGTTTCCCAGCCACACAGACTCGCCAGACAGGCCCTCGCGTTCAGAACCAGGGGTCTCCTCTTAGTCTTGGCTGTGGCAACTTGAATAGCTCACCTAAGGGTGTCTCGATTTCCTTAGCTGTAAAATGGGGACAACCTTCACGTGGTTAGAGACAGACACGTATACGGTCATGTGCCAAATAGCAGCCTCTCGGTCAACAACACACGCCGTGGTGACCAACTTGAACCTGCCCCACAAATCATTCTCCCCCCTACCCCACTGAGCAGCACGTGGTGGTGTGTGTCTGCAGGTGTGTAAAAATGTGTGTAGATACATAATACGCTGTAAACTAGAAATGAATTTAGGCTGACACGTGACGAGTCTATGGCCATTGAACTGTTTCTGAATTGCTCAGGAAGAAGCCAAGGAAATGTTCGGTGGGGTACAGTTGACAAGGAGCACTGTGCTAGGAGTCGAGGGGGGAATCTTATCCCTGTTCCCCTACTGACTGAGCACTGGAACCCCAGGTGTCACCCAGTCAGCATCGCCCCAAGTGGCACTGGGCTCCTTTTTCAGTAGTCTTCTTCATACCCGGCTGGCACTGGGCTCCTCCTTTCTGTAGTCCTCATATCCCACTCTTGCGAAGGGGCGTGGCCCTCACTTGCTGTGTTCACAGCTCAGAGCATTCCTGCACAGGGAGACCTTCCGGCTTTGCTAAGCCCAGTCTTCGCCATGCTTGCCTGACCTACACCACCACTGACTCAGAACACCGAAGAGCCGGATGGTCCTGCATCTGAGCATGCCCAGGGCAGCTTCCGTGTCTGTGGGTCCTTCCCAGCATGATTATTACCTGCCCTCCCTCAACCTGGAGGGCCTGTGTGGACGATAACTGCAGAGTATTTTGGAAAACACTGATTAAGACAGAGTGTAGACTGGGCTTTGTGCTCCGCATCCCCCACTTCTGTCAACGCATTCCAAGTGTGTGATCTCCCAGCAGGAACACGTTGCACTTTGTCCCCTCCCGTTGGCGGTTATTCAGGTAACATCTGATGTTACCTAACTCTCCTACTAATTAACTTCATTTCTGCATGATGTACCGCCACGTCCAGAGTCAGAATTCCGGAGGGGAAGGACAGTGTTTTACTCAATTCCGTGTCCCTGTGCACCCCTTCTGCTGCATGAACCACTGTTTTGCAGTGGATGCGACTTGGAGCAGACTTGGCCAGCACTGTGGGGCATTACGATTGGTGCAAATGTTCAGGAGGGCACTTTGGCAGTATCTGAAGTGCAGAGGAAAATGAAAGAAACAGAGACGGACCGAAGTAAGGAAGGACAGACATGAGTATATTGGTGTACATAAGTGTACATTGCAGCGTTAAAAATCACGGTCAAACATTTAGATCAGCCTAAATGTTCATAAGTAAAGAATGGGGTAAATAGACCAGGTTATTTTCATACAATAGAATAGATCATGCAGCTTAAATTGTTAAGTCTATATTATTGACAAGGAAAGACATCTACAACCTAGTCGATGAAAACAAAGGGTTAAAAAGCTGGTGTCCTATAAGTACAATAGTATGTCCAATAAAGAGATGTACACTAATATATTAACAGTAGTTATTTCTTGGAGCAGGGAGACTGATTTTCACTCTATACCTATTTAAATGTTCTGATTTTTTAACAACAGTACATACTTACTTTTATACTCAGAAATAATAAGCTATTTTTATTTTGGAAAGAAGATGTACGGTGGGTGGTTTACACACAAAGTATCCATACTAGGAATCCAGATTGAAAATCCCAATTTAAGATGATCTTGAACTTTCTTCCAGCTCTAACAATTAAAATTGCAAATATTTTATCTCTCTCGCTTGTCTCCAAGATACTAGGTAGTTTTCACATCATTATCATGAAATATGTGAAATGTGTCCCAGCTACTTTTCACACTCACTTCTATGGCCTGCATTGTTTTTTCTGTGCTGCTTAAGGTTTCATTGCACCTGTAGTAGTTAGTGTTCAACTCATCTTCAGGGTTCTGGTTTTAGCTGAAAACAGTGCTTAGGAGTATTTTATTTGTATTTTTGTTTATGACAACTGACACTTCTTATCTGCCCTGCTAATATATTTTTTCCCTGCTAATCTATGACACAGTTTTTTCATGGGGCAGGCAAACACTTCATTGCAAGTAGTCCCGTATCTTCCATACTGTTTCAGCATACAGTGGCATTAGTAAATATTATGAGTGGGCGAATGTATGATCGAGGACATTCACATTGTAGATAAAGTTGTTACAAATATCTGGATATAAAAAGCTTTTTCCTTCTGTTTCACTCTCTTAGGCTTATTTAGAGCCATTCCTGCTATTGTTAAATACTAATATCAAGTGGCCCCTTGCGGTGAAGCCTGGAGAGGCAGACTATGGGGACACAGTAGAAGATGAACTAGAGCAGCGCTCTGTGTGTGGGGAGTTTTGTGTAGAAGCAGGATTATTGATCTCAACATGCACCTGTTTTGCTTGCAGAACCTTTCTACTTGTTCTGTATTTGGGGAAGGGAGCCCTCATTATCTCAGCTTTTCAGACATTCTGTTTCCAGACTGCCTGAAGTTGAACACTTGTTAGGGTTGCCACCTTATTAAACTTCCAAGTCCTCATCCCTTGCGATCATGAACTTGAGAAGTCCCAAAGCAGGGAACAAAACATTAGAATAAGGATTCCAAGGTAGTCAGCTCCCCAAGCCCCACACGCCCTGGGTGGTAAGCCTCACCTAGGGTGAAAAGGAGCCACTCCTTCCCTTCAAACTCAGACAGCAGCCTCTCCCACTGGGTTTGCCAAAAGTAGCCAGAAGCACCCCAAAATCTCTGAAGATGCCTGGGAAGAAAACCACCATTTAGGTTTCTGGGTGAAGACTGGTGGGCAGACAGCACTTTGCACCATGCTCTGCCCACACGCCGCCACCACACTGCCCTAGATCTTGGGAGCAAACTGGGCCAGGCAAGACTCACCATGTCACTGAGTTCCAGAGGGCTACAAACAAGAGTAGGCCAGATCCCAGGATGAAAGCCGTCCTCCTCATGGAGCCCCAGATGTGTCCCTCCTGGAGGACAAGAGAGTGGCAAACCCTGTGTCGGCTTCATGCGCACTTGCCTGCCAAGGCTGGCGGTCAAGGTACCAAGCAGCTGGAGGGGCAAATCTGCTGACCTGTCCCCTGCCCTTGGGAGGCTCTTTCTTATCAAGACCCCTGGGCTGCACATGGGTGTGTTCATGCAAATTAGGTCCCAGGGAATCAACCTGCTGCCCCAGAAGGTTAGGCAAGCCTTCCAGCAGCTGTGGGATTTGTCCTCGGTCCTCTTCGGAAATGCATGGTGACACCGACCTGCACATTGGGATCACCTGGGAACTGTAGCAAACTCCTGATGCCCATAATCCTCTCAAACCAATTGCATGAGTCTCTGGAGTTGAGACATGAGAGTTTTTACAGCCCCTCGGGTAATTTTAGTGGGCAACCGTGGGGTCGAGACGGTCACCCCAGTGGAACCTGCAGACACTCTGATGTGGAAATCTCCCAGTCACAGGGACGCCCCTGTGTTTACGAAGCAGCCTTTTCACATTCCCTCCCGCCCTCTTGCCCTTGAGGAAAAGAATGAATTGAACATTATGTTCTGACTTTTCATAATCCCTGTGCCTTCAGCCAGATTACCCCGCGCTGCCAGCTGGACAGGATGATTAAGCATTGTGGATAAGGAAGAGGCCGCTGGCAGTCACTGGGAGGGTCTACTGTGCTCTCCTCCAGAAAGGTCTCTTCTAAACTGGAGCTCACTGCAAACCTGAGGGCCCACATTCCGCAAGGGAAGCACCAGCTGCCAGCTGGGTCACCAGCATCCACCAGCACCATGCTCAGATGCCTTGTTTGCTAGCTCCTGGCCCTCCATGGCAGAGAGCTGGAAGGCGGCACTCCTCTGGGGTGTGTGCAGTGTGTACTGGGTCAGGAGAGGCACTGGGCAGGGAGCTCCTCTCACAGGATGCTCCATTGTCATCTGAGGTCTGAGACAGACTTTGAGTTCACTCATTTTCAGCAATGTGAATCCACACTGAATCACTGCTCAGCATTACCCACCCTATCCCGCTTTGGACCAAAATACTAAGAGGTCAGTGAAGTTGGTGAAGGGCTAGTGTTCAGCACGTCCTGAGGTCTGGAAATGGGCACACATTGTGTTTGTGTTCCTTTCTCTCTCTCTGTGTCTCTCTCTGTCTCGGCTAGCCCAATCAGAGGAACTTGACACTTGGCCTTTTATAGAGGCCATTCAAGATCACCCCGACTTTTCTACACAGGCTATGTTGCGCTTTTCTGCTTAGGATGTTTTTCTTTTTTTTTGTTTCTCTAATCCCTTCTTTAGGATTCTGACTCTATTCAGGAATGTTTCTGGACTTACTGGGAATTTTTCATCTGCTCAATGTAATCAAGCTAAATCAAGTCCAATTAAAAACTCATTTCTACAAACAGGATTGGATATTTTTTTCCAGGGACTTAGGGTTTTCCAGTCTACGGCAGCTCTGATGAATAGAATAGGATGAGAAGGACCCACTTCCCCTAGGACATGCAGGAACTTAGCTGTGGTCAGGAGCTTGTGCCCATCCCCTATCTCTAACCTACAGGGGCCTCTGTTGTCCCAAGAGCAGTTTATAGAAAGGGAAGGCTGCCAGGCCCCAGGCTTGGGGCCTGCCAAAGGTTTCAGGCACAGCCCGAGAGACAATGGTAGGAGGGTGATGGGGCTTTCCCTCCACTTCATGCACACACATTCCCTCCTGCAGGCCACAGGGCTGCAGCTACATGGCAGTTGGTGTCATGTGCTCCTTGCACAGCCACTGAAAGGAGGACATCACATGTGTTGGTCACCCCTACACCTTGGAGGGGACTTCAAGTGCAGATATGGAAGGGGCCGGGCCCGGGCAGTGGTCTCACCCAGTGAGTGCGGTGGGTGCGGTGCTGGCATTTACCTGCTTGGACTTCTCATTGTGTAGCATGCTTCCAACCTCTCCCTTCATCTGGAAGGAGAAAGAACAGGTGAGTGTGGGTGTGATTTGGTGAATGGTTAGCAATTATTTTTTTCAGAACTAACAGAGGCTGGTCTTGCTTCCATCTGAGTGAACCACTGGATAGAAGACATCTCTCTCTCTCTGCCTCTCTCTCTGTTTAACTTTCAAATAAATAAATCTTAAAAAAACATTAAAATATATATGGATCAATAACTAGCCAAGTAAATAGCTAAGAAAATAGTCAGAAAAGAAGTGGTAGAGGTGACAGGATGAGTAATAATAGGTCTCCCAACTGTAAATACACAAAAATTTTTTAAAAGATATCTTTATTTTCTCTTCATTTCTTCCAGTTATGAAAGAGTTGTTGTCAGATGAAACAATGGGCTTATTTATCCAGGATTTAAAAAGTAATTTTAACTCAAGTTGGTTCAATTTTGTTTGCTTTGATATTATTTGTTGGTTTAAAAACAAGGACCAAGGTTTCTCTGAGACTTCCAAGAGTTCTGTGAAATAAATGGACACAAATTCCTTGCATTAGCCTTTTAGAAACCAGCCTAATTAAGAGTTGGTTAGAAGCAGAGTCACTGGAAATGTGTTCGTGAGGGAAGGGTATTGTGGTGCAATGGGGTAAGCCTCTACTTGGGTTGCCTGCATCTGATATTCGAATGCTGGTTCGTGTCCCAGCTACTGTGCTTCCTGTCTAGGATTCCTGCTGGTGTGCCTGGGAGGGCAGCAGTGATGGTCCAAGTATTTGGGTCCCTGCCACCCACGTGGGATATCTGTATGGAGTTCTGGGCTCGTCGCTTCAGCCTGGTCCAGTCCCAGCTGTTGTGGGAAATTAGGGAGTGAACCAGCAGATAGAAGATCTCTTTCTCTGTTTCTCCCTCCCTCTCTGCACTGCTCTACCTTTCAGGTAAATAAATAAATACTTCTTAAAAATCCAATGTTAACTTCCAAAAAAAAAAAAATCCAATGTTAAAAGCTGATAGACACATAAAAAAACCGAGCTGGATGGGTATTTAGTCTACTGGTTAAGATACCTGCATTCCACATCAAGATACTTGGGTTCAGTACCTGGCTCTGGCTTCTGACTACCATTTCTTGCTAATGCAGACTCTGAGAAGCAGTAGCCATGGCTCGAGTAACTGGGTTCCTGCTTCCCTTGTGGGGGTCCTGAATTGCATTCCCAGCTCCCAGCTTTGGCCCAGCATAGCTGGACATTTGAGAAGTGAAGCAGCATATGGGAGATCTTTCTGTGTGTCTCTTTGTCAATCTGTCCCTCGCCAAACAAACAAAACCAAAAGCAAAACAATGTGGCATTGTCCAGTATGTATCTTGAATGAGGTAGATAAAAAAACTTGTCTTCTAAGTAGATTAGGTACTTTAATACTAAAGGTTGTTGTTGTTGTTGTTGTGTGTGTGTTTTTGTTTTTTTTTTTTTTGACAGTAAGAGAGACCCAGAGAAGGGTCTTCTTTTGCCATTGGTTCACCCTCCAATGGCCGCCATGGCCAGCACATTGCAGCCGGTGCATCGCGCTGATCCAAAGCCAGGAGTCAGGTGCTTTTCCTGGTGTCCCATGCGGGTGCAGGGCCCAAGCACTTGGGCCATCCTCCACTGCACTCCCGGGCCACAGCAGAGAGCTGGCCTGGAAGAGGGGCAACCGGGACAGAATCCGGCACTCCGACTGGGACTAGAACCTGATGTGCCAGCACCGCAGGCGGAGGATTAGCCTATTGAACCACAGCGCCGGCCAATACTAAAGGTTAGATTTAACTTTAGTAGAGGAAGATGATTTCATTTACAACATGCACATAGTAGTTTGTCAAAAAACATGGCAAATATATACGTGGTCCCCCATTCCTTCACACATACTATACAGAGCTGTGAAAGCTGGTAAGGGGAGCCAGTGCTGTAGCATAGTGGGTAAAACTGCCATCTGTGGTGCCAGCATCCCATATTGGTGCCGGTTTGAGTCCCAGCTGCTGCACTTCTGATCCAGCTTTCTGCTATGGCCTGGGAAAGCAGTGGAGGATGGCCCAACGCCTTGGGCCCCTGTACTCGTGTGGGAGACCTGGAAGAAGCACCTGCCCCCGGCTTTGCATTGGTGCAGCTCCGGCCGTTGCGGTCAACTGGGGAGTGAACCATTGGATGCAAGATCTATCTTTCTCTCTGCCTCTCCTTCTCTCTCTCTGTAACTCTGACTTTCAAATAAATAAATCTTTAAAAAAAATCCAGAAAACAGCAAATGTTAGTGAGGATGTGGAGAAATTAGAGTCATGTGTGCTGTTGGTGGGAATGTAAAATGATATGTTCACTGCAGAAAACAGTATGGAGATTCCTCAAAAACTTAAAAATAGAACCACCATATGGGCTGGTGCCGCTGCTCACTTGGCTAATCCTCTGCCTGCGGTGCTGGCACCCCAGGTTCTGGTCCTGGTCAGGGCGCCGGATTTTGTCCTGGTTGCTCCTCTTCCAGTCCAGCTCTCTGCTGTGGCCCGGGAAGGCAGTGGAGGATGGCCCCAGTCCTTGGGCCCTGCACCCACATGGGAGACCAGGAGGAAGCACCTGGCTCCTGGCTTTCGATTGGCGCAGCGCGCCGGCAGCAGCAGCCATTTGGGGGGTGAACCAACGGAAAAGGAAGACCTTTCTCTCTCTCTCTCTCTCACTCTCACTGTCTAACTCTGCCTGTCCAAAAAAAAGAAAAGAAAAAAAAAAAAAGAAAAAAAGAACCACCGTATGATCCAGCAATCCTAAGTCTACGTGTATATCCAAAATAATTGACAGCAAGAGTTTTTTTTTTTGTTTTTTTTTTTTTTTTTAAGATTGATTGATTGATTTGAAAGGCAGAATTATACACAGAGAGATCTCTTCTATCCACTGGTTCACTGCCCTGATGGCTGCAATGACCAGGATTGGCCAGGCCAAAGCCAGGAGCCAGGAACTTCTGGGCCTCCCACATGGGTGCAGGGGCACAGGGACTTGGGTTGTCTTTTTGCTGCTTTCCCAGGCACAGTAGCAGCGAGCTTGATTGGAAGTGGAGCATCTGGATTATGAACTGTGCCCATATGGGATGCTGGCAATGCAGGAGGAAGCTTTACCTGCTAAGCTATAATGCCAGCCCCAAAAGCAACATCTTGAATAACTATTTGTATAACCGTATTCATAGTTGTAGTATTCATGACAGCCAAGAGGTAGATACAACCCAAGTGTCTGTCCATCAACTGGTTAGTGGATCAACAAGATATGGTATATAGTTACACAATTGACTATTATTCATCTTGAAAAAGGAACAATGGCCGGTGCCGCGGCTCACTAGGCTAATCTTCCACCTGCGGCGCTGGCATGCCAGGTTCTAGTCCCGGCTGGGGCACCGGATTCTGTCCCGGTTGCTCCTTTTCCAATCCAGCTCTCTGCTGTGGCCCAGGAAGGCAGTGGAGGATGGCCCAAGTGCTTGGGCCCTGCACCCGTGTGGGAGATCAGGAGGCAGCACCTGGCTCCTGGCTTGGGATCGGCGTAGCGCTCCAGCCGCAGCCATTTGGGGGGTGAACCAATGGAAAAAGGAAGACCTCTCTCTCTCTCTCTCTCTCTTTTGATGGGTGGTGCTCTTTATTTTTTTATTTTTTTTAGACAGGCAGAGTGGACAGTGAGAGAGACAGAGAGAAAGGTCTTCCTTTTTCCATTGGTTCACCCTCCAATGGCCGCCGAAGCCAGCGCGCTGCGGCCAGTGCACCGCACCAATCCGATGGCAGGAGGCAGGTGCTTCTCCTGGTCTCCCATGGGGTGCAGGGCCCAAGCACTTGGGCCATCCTCCACTGTACTCCTGGGCCACAGCAGAGAGCTGGCCTGGAAGAGGGGCAACCGGGACAGAATCCAGCACCCCGACCGGGACTAGAACCCGGTGTGCCAGCGCTGCAAGGCGGAGGATTAGCCTATTGAGCCGCGGCACCGGCTCGCTCGCTCGCTCGCTGGCTCTCTCTCTCTTTCTCACTGTCTAACTCTGCCTGTCCATTAGGCTTACCCCATTGCACCACAATACCCTTCCCTCACGAGAACGGAACAAAAGCTTGCCACATGCTATAACACAGGTGAAAATTCATGGAAATAGAAAATAGTATGATGGTTTCCAGGGCTTGGAAGGAGAAGCAAATGGAGAGTTGTTAAATGGATCTAGAGCTTTAGTTTTCCGACATGAAAAAATCATGGCAGTCAACAGATGTGAACATACTACTGAGACAAACACTTAGAAATGGTTGAGACAGTGGATTTTATGTCGAATCATTTTTTTGCCACAATTTGAAAAAAAAGACAACTTCAATAATTAAAAATGTGGTACTAGCACTTGAGAGGTAGATGTTATTTAATAGATAGTCCATAGATAGTCCAATAGATAGTCCAATAGATAGTCCATAGACCTAAATACATATGAATATATTAAAATACATATATGAATTTAGAATTTGTTAAGAAAGGATCAATATAAGTAGCCTTGAAACTGAACAGATGCTAAGCCTCCATTACAATAAGAGAAATGTGAATTAACCTTTGACAAGATGCTCTTTCTCCTCTATCAGAATGGTAAAAATGATAAAAATCCAAAAATCTGATCCCACGCCCTGCTAAATGAGGCACAGGGGAATTTAAAATTGTATTTGTTTTCTCTTTATAAAGATCTCTTTACTGGCCGGAACCGCGGCTCACTAGGCTAATCCTCTGCCTTGCAGCGCCGGCACATCGGGTTCTAGTCCCGGTTGGGACACCGGATTCTGTCCCGGTTGCCCCTCTTCCAGGCCAGCTCTCTGCTGTGGCCAGGGAGTGCAGTGGAGGATGGCCAAGTGCTTGGGCCCTGCACCCCATGGGAGACCAGGAGAAGCACCTGGCTCCTGCCATTGGATCAGCGCGGTGCGCTGGCCGCAGCGCGCCGGCCGCGGCGGCCATTGGAGGGTGAACCAACGGCAAAGGAAGACCACCTTTCTCTCTGTCTCTCTCTCTCACTATCCACTCTGCCTGTCAAAAAAAAAAAAAAAAAAATCTCTTTACTGAGATGGAATTCACATGCCATACAATTTACCCATGTAAAGTGTACATTTCAATGACTTCTAGTATTTTTATAGTTCACCTCTATAATCACAGTTACTGTTAGAATATCGCTGTACCCTTTCCCATCAAGCTCAGTGTCACCTTCAGTTTCCCTCTTTTGCTCCCTGCTCCAGCCCTGGGAAACCATTAAGCTACTTTTTATTTCTATAGATTTTCCCATTTTGGAAATTTAATATAAAGACTTAATTTATACAATATATATACAATATACAGCTTTTTGTAATTGGTTTCCTTCCCTTGGCATGGTTTCAAGGTTCATCCATGGTGTAGCACATATCTGCAATTCATTTCCTCCTTTTTTAAATATATATTTGAAAGGCAGAGGGACAAAGAGAGATCCTCCACAGCCCTGGGCCAAGCCAAAGCACCAGAAGCCACGAACTCTGTTCTGGTCTCCTGTATAGGTGGCTGGGGCTCAAGTACTTGGGCTATCAATCCACTGCCTTCCCAAGCAGGTTAACAGCAGCCAGACCAGAAGCAGAGCAGCTGGGATTCAAACCAGCACTCCAACTTGGTATGCTGGTGTCACAAAGCTGTGACTTAACCCACTGTGTCACAGTGCCAGCTCCTATACTTCATTCCCTTTTCCTGCCCAGTAACATTCTGTTGGGTGTGTATATCATATTTTATTTAGCTGTTCACCAAATGATGAATAAAGGTTTAGATTGTTTCTACTTTTGGTCAATACAAATAATGCTGCTGTGAACACTGGTGTACAAGGTTTTATGTGGCCGTATGTTTTCGTTTCTCCTGGATATATGCCAGGGAGTGGAATTGCTGAGTTATACAGTGAATCTATTGAACCTTTGGAGAAACTGCAGACAATTTTCTACAGTGGCTGGACTATTTTGTATTCCTCCTTGCCAGTGTGAGAGCTCCAGTTTTTCCACATCTCACTAACATTTGTGATTGCCTGCCTTTTTTATTATAGTCTTCCCACTAGGTATGAAAGGATTTTTCATTGTGGTTTTGCATTTCCCTAATGACTGAGGATGTTGAGCCCTTATTCCCCTGTGTTTACTGGCCGTTTTCATATCTTCTTTAGAGCGATGTCTATTCAAATCATTTGCCCATTTTAACATTTGATTTGTTTGTTTTGTTTTGAGTTGTGTTCTTTGTATACTCTAGATGCCAGTCCTTATCCTTGTCTGATACATGATTTGCTAGTATTTCTTCTGATTGTCTGGGTTGCCGTTTCACTTGTAGAGCAAGGTTCTAAATTTTTATTTCAGTTAATTTTATTTCTCTATTTTCCTTTTTCCACTTGTGTTTTTGGTAGCATATATGAGAAACCATTGCCTAACCAAAGTTACAAAGATTTAAGTCTGTTTTTTTTCATAAAGTCTTAAAGATAATTTTAGCTGTTATTTAGGTCTGCGGTGTATTTGGGGTTAATTTTTGTGTATGGTGTGAGGAAGGGGTCCAGTTTTATTCTTTTGCATGTGAATATTGAACTGTTCCTGCACTGGTTTTGAAAACTTCTTTCCCCATTGAATTGCCTTGGCGGCTCTGTCAAAGATCAGTTGGCATCAACTGTTTTCTCTTTTTATATGGTTGAAATATTGGCCCGTAGGAAAATAGTAGCTATTCAAGATTTGTTCATTTTAATTCAGAAATAGTAACTAAAAATCAAATAGCAGGTTCTCTTCCACCATTCTTTCATACCTGGTGGACACCACCTGCTGTTTCCAGCGTCTTTCACCTGAGTCTGGACCGAGCTCAGAGTCCGAAGCACAGCACAGAAGGCAGCCACACCAGCACAGAGGGTCTGGCACGCATTAATCCCCTGGCCGTCTCCAATGATAGTGTCACAGTGTGACTCAAGAGGAGCATGGCAGATTTCCTGGTCCTAGCGTGTGACAAGAATGATGGAACCTAGACAAAAGAAAAGGTCAGGTGACCTCCCAGAGTCCATTAGTCTGTAAGTGGCAGAGCTAGGATCTGTTTCCAGCTTCCAATCTGGAGTTTGTGCCCCTGTGCCATTTATTTCTGCTTCTATGGAGATTGTTATTTCCCATATGACTGTACTTGATTTTATTACCAGAGCATGTTTACCAGCTATGAGCTCAGAAAACATGGCTTCACTTTGACCAACATTTTTTTTTTTTTTTTTGAGATTTACTTATTTATTTGAGAGTTACACAGAGAGGAAGGGTCAGAGAGATCTTCCATCTGTTGATTTATCCCACCAAATGGCTGCAACAGCCAGGGTTGTTTTCTTTGCAGATCACACCCTCCCGATCAGAGTCGTGTATAGAAGGGATTTAGTGACTAAGGAGTTTTAATCAGTTTTTGTTTGTTTGCAGCTGTTCTGTGGTAAATCTTTCCCATGGAAGCTACTTGAGACTGTCTTGGGACGTAGGCTTCACATGGAGTATAGATAAATAGCACCAGGTACTAAAATTAAAAACCAAACCCAGGAGAGACCAGGGTGACTGTCAGTACAGTAGGACCTTGCTCTTGGAAGGAGGCAGCTCTGGTTTGTTCCACCAGGCAGGGCACTGATGCCCAGTGCACGTTACGGACACTAGGTATTGCTGAGACCAAGTGATCAGGGGCTGATATGTAAAGTTTGACCTTAGACTTCTTTGCTCATGTACACCTTCTGGCCAAAGGAAAACTGACTGCTAATCTTCTAGTGATGGGAAGGCCCTTAGGCTGTAGGAGGAGCAGCATTTATCTGTTAACATCTGGTTTCATTAGAACCAACGGTGCATTTCCTAACATGCCATTTCTTCTTTAGCTGTGCCAATATGATGCTTATCTAGGTGGCTGAGTTCTCAAAGCCACACAACCATATCACCCTGCTGAATATTTTATGCAAAGGCAGCCTGCTTTCTGTGCCTCTCTACCCACCAGCCGATGTGCTTTCAGTTTTACATGAATGTAGTCAGACATTTTCTAGAGAAGACCTCAAACATGGGTGTACAGATGCATCTTCACCCAGAGAAATTCCTTAACATGTTGCCAAGTTAACAACATTTATCAGCATTTAATGTGATAAAGTATTAGAATCATTAGATGTTTATTGGGCTTCCTTGTTTTGTTTTTTTTTTTGTTGTTTGTTTTTTGTTTTTTAGTCTTGACTGTTAATTTCTTTTTCTCTACATTTTGAAGTCTTCCATCTAAAAACTGGACATTATCTTAAGAGTTCATCTAGGGGGCTGGCACTGTGGCGTAGCGTGTGAAGCCACTGCCTGCAGTGCCGGCATCCCATACAGGTGCTGGTTCGAGCCCTGGCTGCTCTACTTCCAACTCAGCTCTCTGCTTTAGTGTGGGAAAGCAATAGAAGATGATCCAAGTGCTTGGGCCCCTGCACCTAAGTGGGAGACCCAGAAAAATCTCCAGGCTCCTGGCTTCGGATCAGCCTAGCTTCAGTCATTGCCGCCGTTTAGGGAGTGAACCAGTGGATGGAACATGTCTGTCTGTCTGTCTGTCTCTCTCTCTGCCTCTGCCTCTTTGTAATTCTCTGCCTGTCAAATAAATAAATCTTTAAAAAAATGGAATTGAAATATTTATTTAAAAAAAAAAGAGTTCATCTTTTCCAATGACCCCTGTAGAAATATTCAGAATTTGCCTTCAAATTTTGTAGCTGTTTAGTGGCAGAGTTTGAATTCAATGCTTATTCTACCAGTTGAAGCTGTACAGAGTTTCGAATTCCTTAATGTTGATGAATACTTGAATGGTGTGAGGAATCAGAAGGAACACAAAGAAATGAGATTAGCCAGTATTAGCCTAGAATAATGGACAACTGTGTGTGTGTGTGGGCGTGCTTTAATACCAAAAACTTGCTTTCTCTGAAATATTAATCATTCTTTCAAGAAACATTGTGTGGCAGACAGAATGCTAGACACAGGGGATGTTAAGATGTAGAAGACATGCTTCTTGCCCTATTTTATGAAATAATATTATGGAACTTTGATTTTCCAAGTGAAAAGGAACTTCGGAGGAGATTTTGAAGTATTTAAGAAGACAGTGCATGCAAGGAAGAGAAAGAAGTGAAATACATTGAAAGTAAAGGTTCTGATATAATGATGAATTAATTCTCCATTAAGGGGAATTTGGTGATAGATTGTGAATTACCCAAACTAGATAAGTTTTCATATGTTGCTAGTGGTGGTAGATGATTCTTACTATGCAAGCTTCATGTTGAAGACTCTCCAGGCTCGATAAATGACACAGTGAGGCTACAGCTGATGTTCATGAACTCAAGACTGGATACAGGTCCGAGGAATAAAGTGGGTGGGAGGAGTAAAGACAGGTTAATTTTGAAGATTATTTGTCTACAACCCAATTCTTTGAGATTTTTTAGGTTCTTGGTTCCTGGATAGTTTGTATGGTTGAGGAGTGGTCTTATTTTATAAAAAGAAAATACATCATCTTTATAAGAATGTGCACTGTTTCTTTGTAAATATTTTGTGAATTATTAAAATAATTTACTCTTAGTGGCCAGCGCCGTGGTTCACTAGGCTAATCCTCCGCCTGTGATGCTGGCACCCCGGGTTCTAGTCCTGGTTGGGGCACCGGATTCTGTCCCGATTGCTCCTCTTCCAGTCCAGCTCTCTGCTGTGGCCCGGGAATGCAGTGGAGGATGGCCCAAGTGCTTGGGCCCTGCACCCACGTGGGAGACCAGGAGGAAGCACCTGGCTCCTGGCTTGGGATTGGCACAGTGCGCCAGCCGTAGCGGCCATTTGGGGGGTGAACCAACGGAAGGAGGACCTCTCTCTCTCTCTCTCTCTCTCTCTCTCTCTCTGTCACTGTCTAACTCTGTCAAAAAAAATTTAAAAAATAAAAAATTTATTCTTAGAGGAGAAAGAGAGAGAGAGAGAGAAAGAGAACATGAATTGTCATCCGGCCTCTAGGCCTGGATAGCAGAAGTGACTTGCTCTGGGGCTGGCACTGTGGCATAGTGGGTTAAGCTGCTGCCTGGTTCAAGTCCTGGCTGCCCTACTTCTCTCTCTTTATTTTATTTTTTGGACAGGCAGAGTGGACAGTGAGAGAGAGACAGAGAGAAAGGTCCTCCTTTTCCGTTGGTTCACTCTCCAGTGGCCGCTGCGGCTGGCGCACCGCGCTGATCCGAAGCCAGGAGCCAGGTGCTTCTCCTGGTCTCCTCCCATGCGGGTACAGGGCCCAAAGACTTGGGCCATCCTCCACTGCACTCCCGGGCCACAGCAGAGAGCTGGACTGGAAGAGGAGCAACCGGGACAGAATCCGGTGCCCCGACTGGGACTAGAACCCGGTGTGCCGGCGCCGCAGGCAGAGGATTAGCCTATTGAGCCGCGGCACTGGCCTGGCTGCCCTACTTCTGATCCCATTCCCTGTTGATGTGCCTGGGAAAGCAATGGAGGATGGCCCAAACGCTTGGGCCCCTGCACCCACGTTGGAGAGCTGGATAAAGCTCTGGCTCCTGGCTTGGATCTGGCGTTGCCCCAGCCAGTGCGGCCATTGAGGAGTGGACCAGAGGACGGAAGACCTCTCTCTATTATTTCCACTCTCTTCCCCCACACCCCTGTAACTCTGCCTTTTAAATAAATAAAATAAATCTTTAAAAAGTAAGAAGTGACGGCCAGCACTGCGGCTCACTAGGCTAATCCTCCGCCTTGCAGCGCCGGCACACCGGGTTCTAGTCCCGGTCAGGGCGTTGGATTCTGTCCCGGTTGCCCCTCTTCCAGGCCAGCTCTCTGCTGTGGCCCGGGAGTGCAGTGGAGGATGGCCCAAGTGCTTGGGCCCTGCACCCCATGGGAGACCAGGAGAAGCACCTGGCTCCTGGCTCCTGCCATCGGATCAGCGCGGTATGCCGGCCTCAGTGTGCCGGCCGCGGCAGCCATTGGAGGGTGAACCAACGGCAAAGGAAGACCTTTCTCTCTGTCTCTCTCTCTCACTGTCCACTCTGCCTGTCAAAAAAAAAAAAAAAAAAAAAAAAAGGCTCCCTTTGGACTGCTTTAGTAACACTCCTTTCACTGTTTGGTAGCATGGTAGGTACTGCACCCTTTTAAGTGTTTACCGCGCCACTTGACTGCCTGCCCGTGAGGCTGTGAGCCTGCCTGTCTTATCGACTGAGATCCACAGTGCTGAGCATAAGCCTGGTAAGTAGTTACTTGGGAAGTATTTGCCGAATAAATAAAAGAAGGGATAAAAGGAGAAAAATCATTGCTTTTTGGCCTTAGACTTTCTCAACATTCACTGCTGAACATTTCTGTGCCTTTCCTTCGTTTCCTGCCTGAAGTGGGAAGCCGATGCTGTTTATTTCTGTTGTAGCTAGTGAAATTAAACCTCTGTGTCCTCGCCACAGTGCACATGAAGCAAGCAACCCGCCGGATCTTGCTTGCCTTCAGCACCAAAGGACCTGTAGGGGTCCCTGAAACCCCTGGCTGCTGCCTGGCTTCAAGTACACACCCCGACCGCGTTCCCCTCGCCCAGTGCACTTTGTGGGAGCCCTCTTAGAAAGATCATCAAGCCAATAGCAGTTCTCAGACTGGAGCCACTGTTTGTTTATTTGATGAATCACAGCCTTGGCCTGCTTGTCCAGCTTCTAGCCCACACACCTATCCAGAGCCCCTTGTCCTGGGCCCCATCTCTTCCACCAGGTAAAAGTACCAACAGGGCAGCACTTGCTTCCCCACAGTCTCTCCCTGTTGGATTTGCCTCTTGTGAGTTCTGACTTGGGGGTTTTGCTCCTTTGTATGGCTTGGAAGCAAAATCCAGCCTGGTAGAATTCCTGTCTCTTGCTAAAAACAAGACTACAGAGGAAGCAGACACTGCAGACACAGGCAGAGGATGCTGAGAGCAAATCTCGCCTGAGCTGTCAGGAGGGAGGACAGGGAGATGGCTCAGGTGAGAAGAGTGTGTTTTGTCCTTCATCAAGTGAACTTGGATTTGCCTGGAACTTCACAGCCGTCCCCCGTGCCCAGCACTGGCCCCCTCACCTCTGCAGTGGGCTGCTTGACAGGCTCCTCTGGGATCTTGGCCACAGGTGACGCTGCCTTCTCTTCCTGCTGGGTCCCTGCTGGGTGGCTGCTGCACTCTGTCTGCCGGGCTAACCACTGTTGTCACCCGGTTGGGTCAGGAGGCCGGCCAGAGCGATCACATTACAGAGCTGCTGCCTGGGACTGGCTCAGGACAGGCACGTGATGAGAGAAAAAGTTTGGGTCTGCGTAGGCTGGAGACAGAACGCCCTTCTTTCTGAAGGCTGTGTCCTGCGTAGTTCACGCAGGAGCTTTGAAATGGTGCATGTGACCAGACTGGGCTTTTCCCCTTTCACTTTTGTTAAGAGGCTCTTTTGTCTTCTGCATCTAAAGAGAATGTCACTGTCCTCTAAGAGGCAGGCACAATAAAAGATGCGGGTGTGCGATAATGGCAGGCAGTCCAAGCTAATAGGAAGATTAGAGACCAGAGGACCTGGCTCCCTCATTGCATGCCTCCTGAGGAGGACAGGCAAGATAGGTGAGATGCATTAGCAGCGACCAGTGAGTCTAGAGGTAGGAAAAGTACACACATAGAAAGCAAGTGTACACTTGGGTTGGAATAGGGGCAGTTAGGACACAGGACCATGACGTGAAATGGGAGCATTTTTGAAAAAGAACTGAATTGGTTTTTAATTTCTTTTTCTTTTTCTTTTTTTTTTTTTTTCCTGACAGGCAGAGTGGACAGTGAGAGAGAAAGACAGAGAGAAAGGTCTTCCTTTGCCGTTGGTTCACCCTCCAATGGCCGCCGCGGCCGCGGGACAGAATCCGGCGCCCCGACCGGGACTAGAACCCATTGTGCCAGTGCCGCAAGGCGGAGGATTAGCCTAGTGAGCCGTGGCGCCGGCCGCTGGTTTTTAATTTCTAAAAGTTTTTTTTTTTTTAAATAAGCAGTACAGTACATGCCTATGATATGAAATACAAAAGCATTGCTTAGGGAAAAGTGAGTTTTCGTTTAACTCCTCTTCAGTTCTCTTCTTTTCCCTCTAAGAGGCAACTCCATGATCAGGTTTTTGTCTGCCCTTCCAGAGCTCGAAGCTTGTCTACATCAGGGAAATGCACTCTGTGACGTTGTCTGCTCATTTCACAAGGGTGCCATGTCTGTCCTGCACTTTGCTCTTCACTTAACACTCAAAACCTAGAGATGATCACTCATTCTAACTTTAAGGGCTACCGTGTTCTTTGTAAAGCTGCGTGGTGTCGCTTGGATAGACAGACCAGGATTGCTTTCTTCCTTTCTTTTTTAAGGTTTATTTATTTATTTGAAATAGAGTTAGAGAGAGGCAGAGGTAGAGACAAAGAGAGGCTGAGATCTTCCATTGCTCGTTCACTCCCCAAATGACCACAATGGCTGGAGGTGGGCCAGTTCGGAGCCAGGAGCTTCTTCCGGGTCTCCCACATGGGTGCAGGGGCCCAAGCACTTGGGCCATCTCCCATTGCTTTCCCAGGCCACAACAGAGAGCTGGATTGGAAGCGGAGCAGCCAGAACTCGAACCAGCGCCCATATGGGATGCCGGCACTGCAGGCGGTGGCTTTACCCGCTATACCACAGCACCGACCCCCCTGACCAGACTTTATTTGGCCAGTAGAGGACCGTATCTCTGTCTTTTTTTTTTTTGCTAATTCCTCACACAAATCAGGGTCTCATAGCAATGCTTGCTCACAAATGACATTTTGTACAACTTTGTTCCTGTTTTTCCTTACCTATCCTGTCTCAGGTAACAGGACATTTAAAAAAGTATTCCGGGGGGCCGGCGCTATGGCTCACTTAGTTAATCCTCCGCCTGTGGTGGCGGCATCCCATATGGGTGCCAGTTCTATTCCTGGTTGCTCCTCTTCCACTCCAGCTCTTTGCTGTGGCCTGGGAGGGCAGTGGAGGATGGCCCAAGTGCTTGGGCCCTTGCACCTGCGTGGGAGACCAGGAGGAAGTACCTGACTCCTGGCTTTGGATTGGCGCAGCGCTGGCCGTGGCAGCTGTTTGGGGGGTGAACCAGTGGAAGGAAGGCTTTTCTCTCTGTCTCTCTCTCACTGTCTATAACTCTACCTGTCAAATAAATAAATAACAGTATTCCAGCTATTTATATCCTGTATATATTCCCTTGGCAGTCAAAGTGAATCTTGTGCACTGATCAAACCTGGCTACCTAACATGCAAGGCCTTTTGGAGAAGAGCCTGTCTCTCTAGTGACACACTGCTCCTGTGTGACACACAGTGCTCCTGGCTTTCTCGCCGTCTTGCCTCTGTGGAGTTGCTCAGCTTTCTTGTCTTGGATTTTAGAAGATGCTCTCTCCTGGCTGCTCTTTCCTGAGGAAACACGACTGAGGAGAGACCCTGAGAGCCAGGGAGAGGGTAGGTAAAAGGTGCTGCTACCTGTCAGCCAGGTGACCTCTGTCTGGCTGGTCTCAGTCTTCTCATCTGTAAAGTGAGTGAACAACGTCTGATGATCTGAATAGAGATTTGGAATCATGTTTCTCAGTCCTCTGGAATACATCCCCTATGCACTGCTCCAGACAAGCAAATCTGGTTGGAAACTTTAAGAAATTCTGAAGGCTTTGGGACATTATAGAATGTTCTGGACGTTCAAAAGAAGATTTTCAATGCTGGTCATGGAAAAAAAATATCATAGATCTTCCTTTAAAACGTTTTTCTATGTGTTCTCTCTCTCTCTCTCTCTCTCTATATATGTATATATATCATGTATAAAATGTAACTGCCTTTCAATTAAATAAGTACATAAGAATATGTAAATATTATATAATACATATATACATCTTTTATATATTATATATAAATATATAATATAATGTATATCTGTTTTAAATACTTAATTAGTTGAAAGGAAGAGTTACAGAGAGAGAGAGAGAGCACGATCTTCCATTCATTGGTTCACTCTCCAGATCTCAGATGGCCACAGTGGCTGGAGCTGGGCCTGCAGTCTGAAGCCAGGAGCTGCTTCTGGGTCTCCCAAGTCGGGCAGAGGCCCAAGCACTTGGGGCCATCTTCTGCTGCTTTCTCAGGCCTGTTAGCAGAGAACTAGATTGGATGTGGAGCAGTTGCTTCACCTGCTATGTCACAACGTGGGCCCCTGCAGTCACCTTTCTAAAGCCAGTTTCTCAAGCAGCAGCATTTATCTGTCAAATCATATAGACACTGTGATTAGTTACAATCTCAGCAGTTCGCTTTTGTTCATCAGAATGTCAAAAGGAAAAGGAAGATTTATTCAGTACGGTTACACTGCCTCCCAAGGGTGTGCATTAGCAGGAAGCTGCATTGGAAGCTGAAGCCCAGCAGGGACTCAAACCCAAGCATCTGATTTTGCAGGTGTCCCAAGTAGAGGCTTAAGCACTGTCCCAAAGCCTGTACACATAGATGATATCTTTATCTCAGCAGAGAACTTCAGCTGTCTTTTATTGCCAATTTTAGTGAAATTCAAATTAAAAAATTAAGATGTCTCTGCCTGGGGCCGGCGCTGTGGCATAGTGGGCTAAGCCTCTGCCTGCAGCACCGGCTTCCCATTTGGGCACTGATTTGAGTCTCAGCTGCTCCACTTCTGATTGAGCTTTCTGCTGATGTGCCTGGGAAAGCAGTGGTAGCAAACAGACCCCAACCAAAACTTACTGCTGAACTCCGGATTCCCTGCACTGGACTGGGAACTAGAAGCCTCAGATCCCCATCCTTTCTCTGGGAACTGGGCGACCTTCCTGTCACAAGTTATTTACTTCTTTTCTGTGACAACAAGGGATGCATTGGTTAGAACATGTTTGTGGAATCTGTCGGCTTTGGAAATTTAGAGGTCTATTATTATTATCAGTAGATTTTTTAAAAAAATGTACTTATTTATTTGAAAGTCAGAGTTAGACTGAGAGAGGAGAGGCAGAGAGACAAAGACAGAGACAAAGAGACAGAGAGAGGTCTTCCATCCGCTGGTTCACTCCCCAATTGGCTGCAATGGCCAGAGCTGTGCTGATCTGAAGCCAGGAGCTGGGAGCTTCTTCCAGGTCTCCCATGTGAGTGTAGGAACCTGAGGACTTGGGCCATCTTCTACTGCTTTGCCAGGTCATAGCAGAGAGCAGGTTGGGAAGTGGAGTAGCCGGGTCTTGAACCGGTGCCCATATGGGATGCCGGCACTGCAGGTGATGGCTTCACCCACTACACCACAGTGCTGGCCCCATCAGTAGATTTTGAAATGTCGTTACTTTAGTAGACTACAGGAGCAAAGGAAAATCAAATGAGATGAATAAAATAGATGGGATACAGCTCAATTCACAGTAGCTAAGAAATGGAATCAACCCAAATGCCCGTCAACTGAAGACTGGATAAAGAAATTATGGGATATATATATATATATGTGTGTGTGTGTGTATATATATATGCCATGAAATACTACACAGTGGTAAAAAAAAATGAAATCCTGTTGTTTGCAACAAAATGGATGAAACTGAAAAACATCATACTTAGTGAAATAAACCAGTCCCAAAAGGATAAACACCATATGTTCTCCCTGATCTGTAATAACTAAAGGAGCACCTGAAAGGTAATCTATAAAAGTGAAATTAATGTTTCGAGATGTAATGACTCTGAACAGCTGTTGTTGTGACTGTTGAGCAACAGCTTATTTATTTTTAATACAATTTGTTGAACTCTTTACTTAGTATAGAGTTAATTGTATGTGTATAAAGTTAATTGAAAATAGATCTTAATAAAAAAAGGAATGGGAATAGGAGAGGGAGGAGGAAGAGGGGTGGGAGGGCGAGTACGATGGGCAGAATCACTGTATTCCTTAAGTTGTATTTATGAAAAGTATGAAGTTTGTATTCCTTAAATAAAAGATTTCTGGGGAAAAAAAGAATAAATAAATGAAACATTAAAAAAATATATGGGATATCCACAACCTGAGATCATTAGAGATGAAGTTATTTTGGTTGTATCACTTCTCAGCATTTTGGCTAAGATCAAGTGCATTTTGGTTGTAATCAAAATGATACTCAAATGCATAGTCATCAAACATGACCCTAGCTCCATATTTAGGGGACTTTTTACGATCTGTTGATAATTACTAAGAGGAAGGAGATTTTTTTTCTCTTAGGTAGGAAAAGCAAGGACAACATACCCTCAAAAGCAGGAAGCTGGGGCCGGGGCTGTGGTGCAGCAGGTAAAGCTCCTGCCTGCAGTGCTGGCATCCCATGTGGGCACC